GGGAAATTGTGTTGCCCCAGTGAGGGCAAGGAGGACTCTGTGGACGGTATCTCTTTTCTTCTCTTGCTCTGAAGCTCTGGTCAGTGGAAGATGGACAACCCACTACTGTCAAGACTACCGATGACTCGGCTCCTACAGAAGGAAGGTATGAGTCATTCCACCAGGCCAGGAGACTCCCCCAGCTGGGGTACTAGAAGGGGGCAGAGGGCGCCTGGATCGAGTGTAGGCAGCAGCCTGCTGGGATATGATTTAGGCCCTATCACCAGCTACAGAGATGAGGACTGTAACAGCTGTGCTTCTGTGACTTTCCTGTTCACCCCCCGTTTGGTTTCTATTGCTATCTGACACGTTATCATGGATAAACCAGCTGAAAACAACAGCCATTCATCAGCTCACATTCCGGAGGTCAGAAGTCCAGGCATGATGAACATGGCTGGGTTCTTGGCCCAGAAACCTAGTATCAGTGTTGAGCTGCATTCTCATCTGGAGCTCAGGGTCTTCTTTCAGGAGCATGTGGTTGGAGCAGAATTCAGTTCCCTGTGGCCGTAGGCTGGAGGCCTCCTCCATAAGTGTTCTTCGGGAAGAGCGCTCACCCTTTCGAGAGCTCACCTATGAGGTCAGGCTCACCCAGGGTAATCTCCCTTTCATAACTGGTTTGGGACAGTAATTACATCTGCAAACTCTCTTTCTAGCAGTGCCTAGATAAGTGTTTGAACATCAGAGAGAAGGGGTGTGCATGCCTGGGAGCATCACTTTGGGATTCTGCCGGCTCGCTTCCCCTAACTTTTACCTGATTCTTTACCCAATGAATATCAGTGGTAGTAATGTTTTAGCTTTCAGGGGGGCATTATGCTGGATTAAGATTGCTTCATGGTAAAACAGTAGCAGGATAAGAGTACATCCCGAGGGAGGAAAGACGTGAACTGTGCCAGATGCATCGTGTCTGTCCCTCCAGAGCTTGTTTCCCCCTTGCTCTCTGTCCAAGTAGGCAGATCTATGTGGATTACATCAATGGGTTCCCTTTGTCCTCCGTGTCTGTTTGGTTTGGCTTATCTGTTTGGTTTATCTAGAGATTGGAAGGGGGGAGGAGAGGAAGGTCAGGTTATCTATTTCTTGGGCTTCCTCCCTGCAGGCCGCTTCAAGGCGCCAGTGTCCTTCAGCTGAGGGCTTCTGCTCCTTGGAGGGCAGCTCTCTCCACAGGACCCGCTCCTCCTGGACTTGAGTCACCGTGTCCCCCTCCCCTTCACCTTGCCAGGCCTGGGAATGGTGGCAGACCCGCTGTTCCTAGCCCTAGGTTGCTGGGCTAGCCTGAGTATCTCACCTACACGCTTCCCACACCTTCATGAATGGTGCCTTTTTAAAATCTCCTGAATTATCCTAATTTGAATGTGCCATCTGTTTTCTGTTTGGACTCTGACGGATCCAAGAACCTATCAAGAGATAGACACAGGAGTGTGACAGATGGAGAGACAAATACTACTTTTATGATCTGGGACAATATGGCTTAGGTCTGCTAGGCAAGCCGGTTTGCTGACATTCCATCCTGAGGTCAGCCCTGTGAGGGCCGGCCTATAACACTTGAGGCCCCAGGCCGAGTAGGAGGAATGCTCTCTCCCACAGAGATCAGGGAGGATGGGACTGAGCTGAGCATTTTGGCTCCCCCTTTCTGCCCAAGTTGCCAACCTCGGGAGTCACTCCTTCGCCCGGGGAAGACTGAGGGCAGGCCTCCTTCCACACAGGAAGCTCCATGGTAAGGCAGCCCTCCTCCACCACTCTGAACAGCAAGTGTTGCTTTAAATAAAGTGAAAGATAAGCAAAAGAGCCAAAGACGTAATGTCTGGAATTTCTATAAAGAGCACCCACAAACTGATTCGTGAGAACACTAAGAATCCAATTGAGAAGCGGACAAAGGCTACCAGTAAGCAAGTCACAGAAGAGGGAATAATGATGGCAAATAAACAACTGGAAAGATGTTCAATCTCAGTAATGATCAAGGACTTGATTTTTAGAGATGTTTCTTCTGGGGCGCCTGGGTGGCTCAGCTGGTTAAGCGGCTGACTTTGGCTCAGGTCATGATCCCAGGGTCCTGGGATCAAGCCTGTGTCAGGCTCCCTGCTCAGAGGGGAGTCTGCTTCTCCCTTTCCCTCTGCTGCTCCCCCTGCTTGTGCTCTCTCTCTCTCTTTTTTTTTAAAGATTTTATTTATTTATTAATGAGAGACAGAGAGAGAGAGAGAGAGAGAGGCAGAGGGAGAAGCAGGCTTCCTGCGGAGCAGGGAGCCCGATGTGGGACTCGAGCCCAGGACCCTGGGATCATGACCTGAGCCGAAGGCAGACGCTTAACCATCTGAGCCACCCGGGCGCCCTGCTTGTGCTCTCTTGCTCGCTCTCTCAAATAAATAAATAAAATCTTTTTTAAAAATTAAAAAAAAAAGATGTTTATTCCCCTTCAGGTTGGCAAGAATCTTTTTTTTTTTTTAAGATTTATTTATTTATTTTAGAGGTGGGGAGGGGCAGAGGGAGGGAGAGAGAGAGAATTTCAAGCAGACTCCCCGATGAATGCGGAGCCCGACGTGAGGCTTGATCTCACAACCGTGAGATCATGACCTGAGCTGAAACCAAGAGTCAGTTGCTTAACTGAGTGAACCACCCAGGTGCCCCGAATTAGAGCTGCATGTCCTATGGCCCAGCAAGTCCACTTATGGGATGGATGCTGGAGAAATACTCATTTGTACACACACACAAAACATATACAAGAATGCTTACCGTTGGTAATAGTGATGATTTGGAGGCAATCTTGTCCACCAATAGGGGAATGATAAAAATCTTCATATTTTGGGATGCCTGGCTAGCTCAGTCAATGGAGCATGGGACTCTTGATCTGGGGGTTGTGAGTTTGGGCCGCATGTTGGGTGTAGAGATTACTTAATAATAAAATCTTTAAAAAATCAGGGCTCCTGGGTGGCTCAGATGGTTAAGCGTCTGCCTTCGGCTCAGGTCATGATCCCAGGGTCCTGGGATCGAGCCCCGCATCGGGATCCCTGCTCCTGGGGAGCCTGCTTCTCCCTCTACCTCTCTCTCTCTCTCTCTCTGTCTCTCATGAATAAATAAATAAAATCTTTAAAAAATCTACATATTTTGGAATAAAATGCAATTAAAAGAATGGCCAAAGAAAGGGGAAGAGAATAGTAAGGTAGACTGAGTTTATTTGTATTTTCCTAAAAATGTATTTCCTACATATGTCTGATGTATGTTGAAAAATAAACAAGCAGCAAAAAGTATATACATAACACACCAAGAGTAGAATTCATGTGTGTAAAGATTAAACAAGGGAAGGATAGGACTCTGTAGTCAGGGTTACTGAGATTTTTCAAAATTTCCAATGTAAAAACCAGCTTTTTGAATATTCACACCTGTACCCTTTGAGTCACACATACACTGGTTGAATTTTTATGTTTTTTATTTTTTAACAGAGAGACACAGCGAGAGCGGGAACACAAGCAGGGAAGAGTGGGAGAGGGAGAAGCAGGCTTCCCGCCGAGCAGGGAGCCCGATTACACTGGCTGAATTTAACCAAGTTTAAAGTTTGCATGTGGATGGGTGTGTGGTTAGTTAACACTCCATTAGTTAAGACTGCCAAGGGCCTTGTGTGTCACTAATAGCACGCACATGTAAGGGAAGGGCACAAGAAGAGTGTCTGGATGTGATCCGACCACCAATAATAGACTAGAAACTGAAGGGCCAGTTATAGGAAATCTCCTTTGCAAGATGAGGGCGTATAACATGAAACAGCAAGTATGATAATACCCTTCCAAGAATATTATATGATCATTCGTGCAAACAAATTTCATAAAATGATTCCATGCTATTTTGTATAATGATGTGATTCAATGTACTGTTTGTGCAAGATGATTCTGTATAAATGTGCTGAAATTTTAGTGGGAGAGTCCTAATGTAGATGCACCGTGGATATTTCTCTATGATGTGCTTGGATACAAGAGAAAACTAAGAAAGAAAAACTTTACCAAAGACTTAGCTTCCTTTCCGACACAGTTCCAAGGAATCAGGAATCTGTGTGATATGGACTATTGCTGGCATACTGAGAAAAGCAGGGAAGATCAGCGCCAAAGCCTTAGCAATGCAGCTTCAATAGCTCAAAATAATAATAATAATGAAGTAACACTTGAATGTTGATATTCTTACATCTAGGCACCTGTGACTGAACGCATGGTTGGATGTGAAAATATAGAACATGATATGTGGAAAACGATTTGAACATTGCTGTATAGAAGACCACCAGTAGCTCAGGAGCGCCTGGGTGGCTCCATCGTTAAGCATTTGTTTTCGGCCGTGATCCCAGGGTCCTGGGATCCAGCCCCGCACTGGGCTCCCTGCCCCGCGGGAAGCCTGTTTCTCCCTCTCCCACTCCCTGTGCTTGAGTTCCTGCTTTTGCTCTCTCTCTCTCTCTCTGTGTGTCAAATAAAGAAATAAAATCTAAAAAACAAACAAAAACTTAAAAAAAATAAAAATAAAGACCAGTAGCTCAAAAAATAAAGTTAAATAGAAATGAAGATGCTCCTGTATTAGAACAAGGTAGGAAAGAGCTTAAGGGAGATGGGGTGAAATGAAAAAATATCAGCATAAACTCATGACTTCAAAAGATAAAGACTCCGCTACAGGCTATATGAAATTATATAAATTCAGAAAATGACATAAATACCTAGCCCCAGTGTCCAGGGTTCAGGTCTTTAAATTGCGGAAATTACATTTTACCAAGAGAACCAAGTGTTTCCTGAAATGTGCACCATGCTGGATCTTGGGATGAAAAAAGCAAGTTCGTTCTGGGACATCTGGTTTTTATTTTTGTTTTTATTTTTATTTTTTCAGCCTCCAAACCGTTTATTTATCCCGACTTGGGGGTGGAGGTCGCTGGGGGCGGCGAAGCGGGCACAGTATTGCGGGGTGGCAGGGCCCGGTGCAGGCGGGTCGGGCAGGCGTGGCCTTCACGCGAAGGTGGAGCCGTTCCAGCCCACGTTGGCCGCGTTCACGTCGTAGTAGTTGATGTAGAGCCTATCCGGGCTGACGCGCAGGCGCTCGGCCAGCAGGCCGCCCAGCAGCTTGCTGTAGGAGCGGTTCTGCGCGCCTCCGATCTTGCCGATGCTGTGCAGACTGCAGAGCGCGCACGGCTCCCTTGAGCCGCCGAAGGCCATGAGCTGGTCTGAGACCACGTGCACTGCGATGTCCTGGGCCGGCTTGCCGGTGGCCTGCGCCAGCTGCACAGTGAGCTCAGAAAGGAGCCCGTCCGGCACGGAGGCGCGGGGGACGTTGGTGTTCACCACGAACATCGGCATGCTGGCGGAGAAACGGCGAGGACTGGTGCACAGGAACTAACCGACGCGCGTCCGGCAGCAGCCCGGGAACCTGAGCTCCGGGACATCTGGTTTTTAGAAAGAGTTAAGATGAAGTAAGAAGGCCAGCCTGGTTGATTCCCTTACAGAGGTTCCAAGTGCTGAACACAGTGCTTCTCGGTTTTTCTTTGCTACTTTGCTCTGTATGTTAGCTTTATTCTCTCTGGCCGACTGTCCCCATGAGCTATGGTTCTATTAGGAAGGAGAAAAGAGGGAACAGATGTTGGGTAGGTGACCTACAATGTCTGTAACAGGCCTCCCGCCTGTTATATGGTTGATCCAGTTTGGGTCAGGTGCCCACTCACTGACCAATCACTGAGACTTGGATGACAGAATCATATAAGAAAATGGCAGCACCCATTTACTGCAAGAGTGGTAGAAATGACATTGTTTCCTCAAACCAGGGAACTTATCCCAGGAGAAGAAAGAGATCCTTTATTTGTTATCCACTGTTGCTGACAAATTACCTCAAAACTTGGTGGCTTAAGACCACAAACATTTACTATCAAAGAGTTTCTGTAGGTCAGGAATCCAGGTGTGGCTTAGCTGGTATCTCTGATTCAAACCCTATCTGTCACAAGGCTGCAATTAAGATGTTGTTCGAGGTACAGTGTTGAGGCTTAATGGCAGCAGATCTGCTTCCGAGGTCCCTCACATGGCTGTTGGCAGGCCTCAGGTCCTCACTGGCTGTTAGCTGGAGACATTAGCCCCTTGACCTGTGTCTTTCCATTGAGGCAGCGCACAACAGGGCAGCTGGTTTTCCTCAGAGTGAGGGAGTGAAAGAGTGAAGGGGGCGCCCAAGACAGAAGCCACAGCCTTTTTGTAACCTAATCTCTGAAGTTCTGTTATAGTTTTTAGAAGGAAGTTGCCAGGTCCAGCCCGCGTTCAAGGCGAGAGGGTGTGAAGACCGGGAGGTGGACATCATCAGGGGACCATTGGACAGGCTGCCTACCACAGGTTCTAGGCAGGTAATATGATAACACTACACGGAACAGTGACACACTGAATCCAAAACAGGGTGATTACAGTCTATTACAAACAAGCTGAGTCTGTAGGAAAAGCCTTGCGATTAAGATGACGCTATCAGAAGGATGTTAATGCAAAATGTGCTAACAGGTGGTAGTAATGCTTACAGAAGGTTTTACAAACCATTTTTATTAAATATGGAACAGATGCAAAATGGTATTTATAAAAGAGATGCGAGATAGAAAGAGTAGTGATAAAACGGAGGTGCGTGCATACAGGATCATCTCAGCCGGTGTAAGATAAAGGGGATGGCCATCAGTATTGAAGCCTCCGATGCTCCCCTCTTCCTTCCCCGTCTGGAGCTCGCTGTCACCCTGAATTTTGCAATCATTATTCACTTGCTCGTATCCTTACCCAAGATATTGTTTGGTCTTCCCTGCCTTGGACTTTGTATAAATGGGATCACACTCTATGTATTTCTCTGTGATTTGCTTCTTTCACTCAAGATTATGTTTCTGAGATTTATCCAGTTGATGTGTTCACACTGATGTTTCCAATTTGACCCAAACTTCTCTAAGCTCTTCATATATCACTGGAATGAATACAAGAGCAAACTCACTTGTATTATTTGAGCCATCAGCTTTCTCTTCACTTTTCGATACAACACTGGATGGCTATCCTGCGACTCATCTCTATATATATTAGTGGACATTGGGGTTAGTTCCGTATTTTTGCTACATAAATAGTGCTGCTATGAAAAACACAGGGTTCCTGGTACACCTGTGCAAACATTCCTTCACGGGATATCCCTGGGAAAGGAACTGCGGGATCAAATGTATATGGATGTTCAGCCTTAAGAGATACTACCAGGGCGCCTGGGTGGCTCAGATGGTTAAGCGTCTGCCTTCAGCTCAGGTCATGATCCCAGGGTCCTGGGATCGAGTCCCGCATCAGGCTCCCTGCTCCTTGGGAGCCTGCTTCTCCCTCTGCCTCTCTCTCTCTCTCTGTCTCTCATGAATAAATAAATAAAATCTTAAAAAAGAAAAATAAATAAAACACTATACTTCTAAAAAAAAAAGAGATACTGCCAGATTGTTTTCCAAAGTGATTGTAGTGATTCACACACTTCTACCAGCAGTGAATAAATGTTCCAGTTGTTCCAAATCCAATCCAATATTTGATGTCTGACTTAAATTTTTTTGTCAATCTGGAAGGTATAAAATGAATTTCATTGAGGTTTTGATTTGCATTTCACATGAGCTGTGTATTTTTTCACCACACTGGCAAGTGCAATCCAGTGATTGAACAAGACTCTAAACTCTACACTCAAGTCATAGCCACCATCCATGTAACTATTTATAAGTTGTTGTTACCTTGACTCATTGTCATACCAAATTCTTTCCTTAAAAGTTAAATGCAAAGAATCAAGATCTGTAATAATAACTTAGTGTAATGCCTATGTTGCGAAATGGTGTATGGTAGAAAGTCAAACAATGAGTAAAGAAAATAATTTTCGGGGTACCTGGCTGGCTCAGTTGGTGGAGTATGCGACTCTTGATCTTGGGGTCGTGAGTTCGAGCCCCACATTGGGTGTAGAGATTACTTAAAAATAAAATCTTAAAAAAAAAAGAAAAGAAAAACTAATGATGTAATGTAGGGTGATTAACATAACAATAAAAAAATTTAAAAAAAAGAAAAGAATTTTCACGGGCACTGTCCTCCTTTTGCATTTATTTTGATGTATTATATGAAGGTGTTGAAGAAAATTAAGGGGGAAGTGAGTCATGCCCCTCTAGTTCATATTTATACATCATCTTTGCTGCCCTGAAGGGTATACACACAAAGGAGCGGACCCCAGCAGATGGTAGTGCTTTTAAAGTCTTAAGTAGAATTTACACACTTAGAGATTTACAGTGAAGTGTTAAAAAGGAATTGCTTTTGGGATGCCTGGGTGGCTCAGTTGGTAGAGCGTCTGCTTTTGGCTCAGGTCATGATCCCAGGGTCCTGGGATCGAGCTCCGCGTCGGGCTCCTTCCTCAGCAGGGAGCCTGCTTCTCCCTTTCCCTCTGCCTGCCACTCCCCCTGCTTGTGCTCTCTCTCTCTGTCAAATAAATAAATAAAATCGTAAAAAAAAAAAAGGAATTACTTTCCTTAGATGTTATTCTGCATGGTCAACATTGGACTACAAACATGCTGAAGTTGGGATTGATTAAAATGTTAAACTTAGTGAGGTCACATCCTGATTGGACTATACCCAAGAAACACGTTTCAGGACAAGTCAAAGTTCCAAGTATAACACAAGCTGCAAAGGGGCAAGAAATCAGGTGATCAGGACTGGCTGGTGGCGGTCTGTTCTTAGAAGCAGAGCTGAAGAAATGGAACTTGCTGGCTGCTTGGATGAACTCTGATGCCCGCCTGGACCCCAGGTGTCTGAGTGGGCCTGCCTTGGGATAGAGGCCAGCAGCGACAGAACAGGCAGTGCTCCTGGGGGTGCTCCTAATGTTGCCCTTGGAGCTTCCTTCTGTCAAAGCTAGCGCAGAAAACAGACCAAGAGGACTTCTGCTCACATACTGGTGGAGTATAAACTTGCAATAATTTTGAAAAGCAATTTAGCAGAGCATCAAGACCTTAAACATGTTCCTATTGGCTGACTATGTAATTCCAACCTGAGGAATCTTCCCAATCACTCGTGTTATTGAGGATGAAATAAACTCATTCGCATTCTCTCAAGAAACATTAAGAGGCTACAGACACAGAAACCCAGGGAAGTCTAAACATCCCAGCCTGGGAAGTGCACAGACCCGATGTAGTTGTGGGTTTTGCCAGCCCGAGAAACTACGCAGAGGTTTCTCAACGTGCTACCTCTACCCCTAGTACTCTCGTGCTTGGTTACCCCCCTGTCTGCGCTAGCATTCCTTTACTGACTCCTGCTTACTTTGTTTCTACAGCCACATTTTTTGGCAAGACTGCCTCTTAGTTGACTTTCTCAGTACTTCTTTGAACTTTGAGAAAGAGAATCCGATTGGCCAGATCATCTTTCCAAACTAGGCAAGTAATGGGTTTTTGCCAGCAAAGGCATTGGCTGCCCTTGGATCAGATGTCCTCCTGTGGCCCAATCAGCTGGGGATAAGAGGGAACAGCCCACCCATAACCGCTCAGTGCAGAGACCAGTGGTGAGGTCAGTTTCCCTTATAAAGGACTTTGGGCTGGCAAATACTGTAATGGACATCTCAAAGGAACCTAAGAAAAAAGTTCGGAGATGGAGCCAAGAGGTGCATTACACACACGAATGTTGAAAAACCCTAATGACCATCAACAGAGCAGTAGGATAAATTCTGGGCTGCGGGTATGGCACAATGAACAGCGAATGCAACGACTTTGAGGGATATTGAACACGGGGAAATGGTAACAAAATATTAAATGAAAAAGCAGACCATAAAACTGCATGTACAGTATGATCAGAATTCTCTAAGAAAAAAACCCTTTTGTTTATTTTTTTAATCTGTAAGGGAAAGTTAACGGTTAGTGGTGTAATGACTGGTGATTTAAATGTTCTTGATTTCGTCGTGTAGCTTTCAAACGTTGCATAATGAACAGATACTATTTTTATAATGAGGGTAAATACTAAGTATTTGTTAAAAGTTCACGTTCCTCACTTTTAACTGGGTTCTCAGGACGGGCCAGCTCTCTCTTGCCTTATCTCCGGGCTCTCAGCCCAGGGGACCCCAGCCTCCCCGCCGCCCCCCCCACCCCGGCTCGTCTACCCTCCAGTGGTTGGAGCGGGGGGCTCTCCCGCCCACACCAGGGCCAAGCTCCTCTCGCTCGATTCTGTCACCTCTCTCACGTTGCCCCTTCTCCAGTCTCGAAAAATGTCACTTTTCTGAACCATCCGCGGTCTTTACCCCACACTACTTTTCTAACCAAAAAAGGCTGGCACAGAGGGCTCTTGGCTCGGCTCACGGCGCCAGCGCTCCCCCGGTCGGGTCGGGCTCCCCAGACGCTCTCTCCCTCGCCGGGCCAAGTCCGGCCCCGCAGCGCCCTCCCCCGGGATCGGCGATCTTCGCCCGGCCCAGCCCCGCAGCGCCCTCCCCCGGGATCTGCGATCCCCCTCCCGACCCGGCTCGGCAGCGCCCTCCCCCGGGATCCGCGATTCCCCGCCCCGCCCAGCCCCGCAGCGCCCTCCCCCACGATCCGCGCTCCCCGTCCCGACCGGGCCCCGCAGCGCCCTCCCCCCGGATCTGCGCTCCCCCTACTGACCCGGCCCCGCAACGCCCTCCCTCCGGATCCGCGCTCCCCCGCCGGGCGGGGTCAGGTCCGTTCCGCGGCGCCCCGCCTGCTTCCGCCTTCCGGCTGGTCCCAAACTCTGCCCTGCGCGCGTGTTCCCGGCCGGCCATGGCTCCGCTCCGTTTCTCGGCCAACGTGTCTTGGCTGTTCCCGGAGCTCCCCGGGCTCCCCGCGCGGCTCCGGGCGGCCGGCAGCTCGGGCTTCGAGGCCGCGGAGGTGGCCTGGCCGTACGTGGAGCAGCCCGAGGCACTGGAGCGCGCGGCGCGGGAAGCGGGGCTGCGGCTGGTGCTGATCAACACGCCCCCTGGTGCGCCGCGGGGCCGAGGCGGGGGGCAGCGGGAGGCCCGAGGACGCGAGCCGGGGCTGAAGCCCGTTCTCTCCGCAGGAGACCGAGAGAAAGGGGAAATGGGGCTGGGGGCCGTTCCCGGGAGGCAAGCGGCCTTCCGAGAGGGGCTGGAGCAGGCAGTGCTGTACGCCAAGGCTCTGGGCTGTCCCAGGTATCCTACCCTCTCCTCCACCTCCTCCCCATCCTGCCCTGTCCCCTCCAAGACCCTGCCCCACGTCTGGGGTCTGGAAGAACGGAACGCCAGGTTGGAGAGGTTCGGGAGTCAGCGCACGGGCCCTTCTCCACTCTGCCAGCCCCGGTCCTTTGTAAATTGCCTTTTGTGTTTTATTTGTCCTGTGTCATTCTCAGCTGGCTACTCTTTCAGGCTGGGATCCTGTGCCAGGAGCTGCCTGGCTAGGGAGATAGCAAAGTAAACCTACGGAGTGATCCATTGTTGGAAGGGTCAGTTTATGGCACCTGTTTGAGATCAGAGGAAGCTTCTTACAGGTAGTGATGTTGAGCTGGGTCTCAAAGGAATGAACAGGCATTTGCTTGATAGAAGGAACACTGGAGGCGAGGATGCAGCGGCCAGAGACAAGAGAAGGCTTGGGGTGCTCAGCAGAGTTCCTGAGGCTGGAGATGTGGCCCTTTGGAGCTGGGTGCAGCCAAGAAAGATCAGGAGATGGCAGCAGGAGGTGGAAGAGGCACGGTGGGGCTGATCAAATAAATGTCAGGCCCCGCTGAGGGTAAGCGGGTTGTGATGGAACCGGCAACAGGGGTCATTACTGGTGAGTGGTGGGGGCCGAAAGCAGATGGGAAGACTTTAAGCAACAGATGCAAGGCTTGGAGACAGGCAGCTCGGAATACTTAAGGGAAAGGGTCAAAATACTTGTTAGGGAGGGAGGCTGTCGTGCATGTTTATAGCCCCAGGAGAGGGCCCGCTGGAAAGGAGAGGTAGAGGACAGCGTTGGCTAAATGAGAGGTCTCTGCGGCGGGAGGATGGGGTGACCCTCAGAAGGTATCTCAGGCTGACACAGGAGGGCAGGTGACAGCCCAGCCAGAGGGGGGCGGGGGGCTGGGAGGGCAGCTGGAGGCGGCACACACTGGGAGCCAGAGGAACGAGGGCCCTGCAGTCAGGATGGCCTCCCCAGCCTCCTCCAGTGCCACCTTCCCCCAGGGTTCACCTGATGGCTGGCCGGGTACCCCAGGGGGCTGACCGAGCAGCAGTCAGGAGCGAAATGGAGACGGTTTTTCTGGAGAACCTGAGGCACGCAGCTGGGGTTTTGGCCCAGGTGAGACCCAAGGACATACAGACACGCATACTTACGTGAATGCCTGCGCGTGTGGAGGGGGGCGCACAGCGGGGCGAGCAAATGAGGCACGAGGCCGGGCACTAGCCCAGCTCAGGGAATGGTGAGGGCCTTCACCAGTGACTGGCCGGGAGGGGAACGGAACTGGAGCAGAGCTCTGTTCACGGGTCCCCGGTGGTGCTAGGAGAGCCTCGTGGGACTGCTGGAGCCCATCAATACCCGCATCACGGACCCCCGGTACTTCCTGGACACCCCCCAGCAGGGTAGGACCGCAGCCCTGTGCCCCCCCAGCCTCCTCTGATCCTCGTGCTCTCCTTGGGTCTCACGGCCCCCTCCCCGGTTTCTCTCCCAGCGGCAGCCATCTTACAGAAGGTTGGAAGACCCAACCTCCAGTTACAGATGGTAGGTGGAAGAAAGGGAGTGCTTCTCAGAAGGCCCATGTTCCCCACATCTGCGGAGGATGGGGTGGGGGACCAGGGGGCCTGCAGGGTCTCTGACTAGTGTTCTCTACTCAGGACCTATTCCACTGGCAGATCATGGATGGGAACCTGACAGGAAACATACGGGAGTTCCTGCCCCTCGTTGGTGAGAGGGGTCTTTCTTTGCTCGTCTGCTGTGCTCCCACCCCTTCAACCCCCACGCCCCCTCACATTTGTTCCTCAGGCCTCAGCCGGAGCCTGGGCCCCACACCTGCCCCCATCTGTGTCTAGGGCACGTGCAGGTGGCACAGGTCCCGGGCCGGGGGGAGCCTGACAGCCCCGGGGAGCTGAACTTCCCCTATCTATTCCAACTGCTGGAGGATGAAGGCTACAGGGGCTTTGTGGGCTGCGAGTACCGGCCTCAAGGTGAGGGGGGTGGCGCTGGGGCCCCAGACCAGGCCCTGGGGCAGGGAGCTCTGGAGGGACAGGTATTGGACATGGCTGCTTTTCTCCTCACCGGCTAAGACGCGGCCACCTCCCTCTCTCCTCAGGAGACACAGTAGAGGGCTTGAATTGGCTTCGTTCGTACTGGGATAGGCAGGGCCGCCCACAGGCTGGCCGGTGAGGTCCTGCCCTGCCCCCGCCTGCCTCTGTGGGACAGGGCGCCGAGCAGCCTGCATCGCCCGAATTAAAGACCACCTGCTCAACATTTTCCCGTGTGTGTGTGTGTGTGTGTGTGTGTGTGTGTGATTGGGCAGGTGGGGGACAGTGTCTAACCGCTCGCTCTCCCGGGGCTGCTTCCCTCCTGGTGAGAAGGGACGAGAAGCGACGAGAAGGGACATATGGCTCACACTCAAGTGCTCCACTCTCCTGTGCACACGGGGGTTTTTGAGTCCACCCCTTCATTTACACACCACAAACCGCAGGTCAGAGAGCTGAGGGACTGGCCTGTGGTCACAGAGGCTTCAGAGGCAGGGCTGACATTGGAACCAAGGTGTCATATCTCAACGGCAACGTCCAGCAATGATGTTCAAGTGGGAAATTAATACCAGAGGGCTCAACGTGGGGGTGGAGTGGCTGACGGCAATCCGAGACTTGGAGGCAGCGTTCAGGCAGAGGAGCTCTCGGGGAGAGTGCTTGCCACCTGGTGTGAACTCCTGGGACTACACCAGGTGAGTAGGAAGGCGTAGTCCCTTTCTAGAAGGGCCCAGGGGCCTGAAAGGAGATGCGCACCTCAGGGAGTTGCTCTGCCCCTCTGGAGCGCTGGGCCGGTCAGCAGTGGCAAGTGCTCAGGAGGGCAGCTCCCACTGTGAGGCTGGGGCCGCAGACCCCTGAGATCTAGTCACAAAGGTTTTGGTGTCCTTCAGTGTCCGGGCCCAGAAGGGCTGGTCAGTCCTGCTTCAAGTGGGCAATCTTCCAGGCCCCCATGGTTCGAGGAACGGTGACATTCACTGGTTTGGGCCTCAGAGGAGGCGGGTCCAGAGGGTGAAGCAAGCTGTGTTGATGACGGACTCGAGGTGGTGGTAGGTGGAGACCAGCTGGGCGGGGGGGCTCTCGCTGTCCTGCGGCTGTACCGGGAAGGGCTCTCGGAAAACCACTGTCAAAGACTGTGGGGAACATGGCAGGGGTGCAGTGGTGAGAGGTGGGGGGGAGGGGAGGCATGGGGAACAGGGCTCCCCAACCTCAGCAAGCTCCAGGGGGGAGCCTCCCACTAGGTTGACACAAAGCCCCTCACCCCTGTTCTCACCGTCTTTCCCAAGTGGGAATCCAGAAACACCAGCACAAAACAGTCTGTAAACTTCTGATTCAGCACAACCTGCAGTGAAAGACAAAGTGACATGGGGAGTGAGGTCTGTGTCACCTGAGGCGGCATTCACCTTCCTTGAAGGCATTCTGGAAGTAGGACCGGTGTGAGGAAGGCCTGTTTCCATCACCACACCTGAGCCCACCTGCGTTCCGGTCGCCCAGGACCTTGTCTCTGAACTGAACCTCAGCCCTCATCCTCGCTGGCTCCCCGGCAGCCCGACCAGCCTCATCAAAATGAGGGGGAGGCACCTGACTGGAAGGTTCCAGAGCTTGTCTAGCTAGAGGTCCTGCACAGACCTGGCACACTGAAGCCCATCAGTGATGGGGAGTTCTCCACCCTTGGCACAATCCCTCCTTGCCCCGTCCTGAGTCTTGTATCTCTTTGACCTCCCCTGAGACTGTCCCCCCATGTCTGACTGTCCCTTTGCTCAGCTCTGTGATCTCTTCCAGATGATTCCTTCTACTCCTAGGCTTCAGTGACCACCTGTTCACACAGATGCTGCCAAGGTCTCTCTCTCTCTCTCTCTCCTGGGCTCCGGTCCCTAAACCTTCTAGAGTGTGGTCCTGGGAGGGCCTCATGGACCTCCGACCCAACTCCTCACCCTTCCCCCAAAGCCACTCCTGCTTCAGTGCTCCTACCACCCACAGGAGCACCCCATCTGCTCAACCCACCTGCACAACTGCAGCCTTACCACCTCAGCATGCCGGGACGCCCCTTCACACCCTGAAGCTGGCCTTCCCCACAAGCAGTGCTGCGGGACCCCTCCCTACGGGCCAATGCCTACTTTTTTGGAAGTCTTCTGAATGCCTCCTCCCCACAACCACCACTCTCGCCAGGCCCACCTCTTCAGTCTCTCAGCCCCCATGCTCTCCGGCCACCACCTGAGCCTTTTCCCCTCTACCTGGCCCAGGTAGTGCTTAGCCTCTCACGTGCATGTGGGGATTGGGCTAGAAGGCACGTGCTGAGTCAGCGGGTCGGAGCTGGGGCCCAAGAGTCTGCATTTTGGCACACTGGCACGCTCCCAGGTGCTGCTGCTGCTGGAGTGAAAACCACACTTTGGCTAACGAGGCTTTAAAGCCACAGAGGTCCTTCTTGGGATTCCAGCCCCTAAGACCAACCACTGATGAGGTTCCAGAGCTTGGCCCTCTGGATCTCTAGCCAAAGGTCTGTGTTTTTTTTGTGAGCTTATTTTTACTTATTTTTTTAAAGATTTTATTTATTTGACAGAGAGACCCAGTGAGAGGGGGAACACAAGCAGGGGGGAGTGGGAGAGGGAGAAGCAGGCTTCCCGCCATGCAGGGAGCCCCTATGCGGGGCTTGATCCCAGGACCCTGGGGTCATGACCTGAGCTGAAGGCAGATGCTTAACGACTGCGCCACCCAGGCGCCCCTTTTTGTGAGCTTTTAAGGTCAGAGCTCTAGGTTGTTCTCACAATTCCTGTGTCAAGGCTTGGTGCTCAGTGCTTGAAGGGTTTCACATGAACCCCATTCCATCTAGGCCTCCCGCCAAAGCAGACCTCATTTAGTTGGGTTGGGGCTCCTTCAGGGACCTGTTATCTCTCTGATGAGGCCTTCGGCTACATCTCCCCTTTCAGAGGAGGCTCAAAGAGACTTACCAGGTATTGAGTTCCCAAGTCTGGGCTCTGGAAATGGCGACAGCTCTGAGGAAAGCGGCTTAGGAGAACCTTGATCAGGCTCTGGTACCAGGAGACTGTCATAGACAGGAAGCAGTCCTAGGGGAAGGCCAATGGGGCTGGATCTGCTGTCTCAGAGCCACCTGAGATCTCTGCACCGTCTCCCCCGGCTGCTGCTAGAATCCCTAGTAACCAAATCAGCCCCTTCTAGAACCCACAGCCGCTTACCAGCTGGGGGTCAATGTCCCCAATGGATTTGGCATGGACTGCTTCCAGGAGTTCCTCCAGCTCCGCCAGGGCCAGGCGCCCCCCTAGCCGTAGCCGGTCAGGCCCCGGAGGCTCCAGCAAGAAGAGGCGCTTCCAGAGGGTGTCCCGACGGCAGTGCCCTCCAGCCAGCCGGACCAGCTGAGCCAGCCGTGCCCGTGCCACCCCCACCTCTGCGGCCAGTGGGGGGAACAGGGGAGCTGGTCCAGGGGCCAGACCAAATCCCGAGGCCTCCCCCGGACTACCAGCTGAGCTCCCAGTAGCTTCTGGCTCAGGGGGTAGTTTGGGTGGCTTCCGGAACCGGCGCATGTCCGCGGTGAGTCTGGGGAAGAGCTCTCGTTGGCTGGTGAGCACCACGAAGAACTGCAGCCTGGGGTGGGGAAGGGGTAGGAATGTGGTGATCAGAGTAAGAGACACAGAGAGCAAGGGTACAGGGGAGGCTGGGCAACGAGCACACTCAAGGCAGGGGGGATCCGCTGACCGCAGAACGTGCCGCTCGGCTTCTCCTTGCTCTTCGAAGGGTGCAGCACAGTGACACACCAGCAGAGACACATCGAAATCGTCCTGGTGACGAAGCCCCTCAGAGTCCAGGTAGGAGCCGGAGCTGTACAGTGGGGGTGGGGAAGATGCCAATCCTGAGGTTCTAATGAAGCCAGGGGCTCGAGAAAACACCAGTCTCCCTACTACTCGGATGGCCCTGACCTCAGCTCCGCCAGAGCACATGCTGGTGCCCCCCTCCGCCCCCGGCCACTTCACCTGTGCCACGCCGATACCAAGGCATATTCGTTATGTTCTGGGCCTCCTGGCCGAGCCATCCGCAATGGCTTCATGTGGTAGGAGCTGGCATGGTCAGCTACGTAGTTATACAGCTGGTGGGCAGCGATGAGTGGTGTGGAGAGCTCCAGTGTCCCTGAGGGGCAAGTCACAGGAGTCACTGAGCCTGCGACAGACATACTGAACAGGTGGGACAGGGGGACAGACATTCCTAAGGCTCTGATTGACAGGTAGACTGGCTCTGTTTTTCTGGGGTCCTGTAGAACATTGAGATGGGCCCAAAGTGGCTCAGAACAGACAGACCGAAGTCAAGATCTAAACTCTGATAGGAAACAGGGTGAAGAACTTAAGACACAAACCAGAGACACGGGAACATGGTCCAAGTGACATTAAGGTGATTAACCATACGGGACAGGAGGTAAGGAGGTCTGGTCCCAGGAAGTGGTCCCATCGGCCCTGGTTTGGTGCCCTGTGGTCTATCTCTGGTTCACCAGCCTGCCCTTGAGCACCGACCTTGGTAAATGTGATTGCGGCCGAAGTGGGGCCCGTCGGGGTGGTGGGCCAGGAAGTGCCGCAGGAAGGTGGTCAGGTGGTAGCCGTGCCGCAGCACCAGGTGGGCGCCCAGAACGTGCTGGTGCACGAGGCGCAGGTGGAAGTCGTAGCTGAACGAGTGTACATGCATCAGGTCCCGCACCTTGTCGCATTCCTCCGTGAACAGCATGGACAGCTGGAGGGCGGGGGGCAGGGGGGCGGGAACCGCGTCAGGGCCCGGCAGGCCACCCGGCACGTTCCCATTTCTCTCCCTCTTCCACGGGAAGAGGAAGTTCAAGATTCCCCCGGTTGCTCTGGGCCCAGGGGAACCCCCTTCTGCCGGAATGACTTCTGTGGGAAGCCGTCCTCAGTGTATCCCCTTTTTCATACAGAAGTGTCATTCAGTTTACGTGAAACTATGATTGTTTTGATAGACGGACCTTTTTACTCTACCCCAGATTCTGCTAACGTCTGGCACAGATCCACTGATGCAAAACATAGCTGGTTAGTGCCTGCCAGGTACTGTTTGAGGCGCTGGGGATACACTGGGAGAAGAGCAAACCCTGCCCCCAAGGAGTGTACGTTCTAGCGGTGGGCAGACAGGACGGCCAACGTCAGGCCACAGAAACAAGTATGTAGGACGTCAGAAGATGGTGTTATGGAAAATCTAGTGAAGTGCCACAGTTTTATGCTGGCGGCCAGGGGAGGCCAGGCGTGGAATGTATATTAGGAAGTCTTTCCTGGCTCCTCCCCATTTCTCCAGCTTGACCTTCCCATCAAACTACCTGCTCTTCCCAGTACATCACATGTTCTCTTCACACTTTTGTACCTGCTCGTTCTCTCTGCCTGGAATGCTGCTCTCCCTGCTCCCCAAATCTGGCTAGCTCCTACTCGTTCGTAAAGCGTCCTCTGGGACATCCTGCCAGGGCTAGGCCAGGGTGGGCCTCCTCTAATTGATCTGTGAATGAATGAATGAACCATGGATGGAGGAAGAAAGGCAGACAGAAACACGGAGCTGGTGCTTTCCTGGTGGAAGTCACTGTCACCGAGAGTGTGTTAGCAGCTGGATCCGTGGCGCTGGGCTGGCAGGATCTACAGGCCCAAGCCCTTGGAAGCACTGGAAGCAGGAGTTATTAGGAAAGGAAAGAACTGGCTGTTGAAGAAGTGACAGCCTCGGGGTCAGGGCAGCTGTCTGGCCTTGACTGAGTCACAATGTCTCGGTTTCAGCTCCCTCATCCACACGGAGATAAAGCAGAGGTCTTTGCAAAGCTAGAGAATGTGTGGTAAACTGAAGGGCCCATGGATTATGATGATCATGAGCACTAGAGTGGAAAGGCCTCAGGATGCTCGTGGAGGAGGGGAAGGGGAAGAGAGGAAAGCCGGGGGGACATAATTCAGGCTCAGGGACATCGCTGACTTCATGTCAGGGATGGCGCATGATGGTGCATGTTAGCTGAGGGCTCTCAGCCACAGACCTAGATTTTAGCCCCAGTCCTGCCGCTGACTGGCATGTTGCAGGGGACACGTACTTAAGTAGGTCCCCTATGGGTACAGCAGGAGGAAAATTCTCTTCTACGCTGAGTATGCATACTCTGCACTTAGTAACAACGGCAACAGTTCAGCAATTTAGAAATCTATGTAGGGTCAGCGATTACACAAGCAGGGGCAGGGAGAGCCAAGATTGATGGAGATCAGGGGCAGGAAACCACAAGGACTTCAAGAAGCTCGAGAGTGTCATGGGGCTGGGTCTTTCCCACCAGCACGACAGCAAAGTGTGAAAGCGTACCTGTCCGTCAGAGCTCCCTCCGGAGCACTCTGGCCCAGGTAGGTTTTTGCACACACAGTCACCACGCTTTTCTGGGTCACCTTATCCCGTGATGGCTGGACTAGGTGTCCACACTCAAGTCAAAGGCAACCATCCCCGGGCTGGGATGTGAGCTATCCAGATAAGAGGAGTCAGGCAGACTAGGCCTGGTCAGATCCTGATCTCAGGAACAAAATGAGAGGCACAAAGAAGGCACAGGCCCTCACATGACGTGCCTGGTGACCGAAGTCCAGAGGGCTTCAGGTCCCTGACCTCACTCGATCCTGACTCATTCTGTGCACTCCTGGGAGCTGGGCCCTCATGGATACAGAGGCCCTGCCCCAAAGGAGACAGAGAGGGACATAAATAACAACAAAGTGCCAGGGGTACGCTGTGTGGCTAGGAACTCTGGTCCTCATTCTAAGTGTTAGTGGCGATCCTGACAAAGCCTGGCTGTCTCCAGCTCTAGATCAGGCCAGGACTGCCCATGGCATCGACGTACCCATGTGTCAGATTACCTACTATGTTCTAAGGTCCTCACTGGCCATCTATGGTTATGGATCGACCACGGTGCTGGGCTCCCGTCAGTCCCACGATGAACACAGGACCAGAGCAGGCCACTGTGCTGGACTGCCTTCTGCCTCCAGTGCTACGGTGGAATACAGCTCTGGCCCACTGACAGAGTGAGGCTGATGGGTAGATGACCCAGTCATGGCACCGGAACGGCCACTGACCCGGCCAGCCCAAGCAATAGATCACCACTGGCCCAGACTACCCGTGTATTCCTCTTACTGGCCACAGTGTACTGGGGATGCACTATGTCTGAGACCCCCTATTTCCCCTCTGTCCCAACCACATACCTGAGAGTTGACAGCTTGCCCCATGGGGATCCGGGAACATTCTAGGGCAAACTGTTTGACACAGAAGTAACAGCCCTGGAGAGAGGACGAAGATGAGGTCAGGAGGGCAAGAGACAGGTGGATCTGGCTCTCCCCACTCACTGTTCTTCCCTGCTCACCTGAAAAGCCAGCTCCATGAGGATGATGCCCCCGGGCAGTGCCCGCTGCAGGTGGTAGGTGGTGACCGGAGAGCCAGTGCTCTGAAGAAAGGAGAGAGACTAGGGTTCAGGGGCAAGCACTGGGGATTCACGAGTCTTGAACCAGCAGGGGAGTCCTTTGGGTCAGTGATTCCTGGGTCTGGGGCATCGCTGACTGCACTGTCAGGGAAGGTACGCGATGATGTGATACCTTGGGGCTCCCATCGGTCTTGGTTTTAGGGCAGGAGAAGGAGCCGCGACCCTCTGTTCCAAGGATGGCCATGGCCCGCAGCCGGCTGGTGCTGCAGAAGAGAGGAGGCAAGAGGATGAGGCAGGCCAGCAGAGGAAGCAGTCCGGCCAGTAGACCCACAGTCACTTTCATGGCCAAGTGTTCTGTAGGACTGGAAACAGGGCGGGAGAGGGAAAGGACCTGCTTGGGGTACCACGTTGGGTAAGTGGCTGGGACTGGAGTCCAGGTCTAGACCGCGGGGCAGCAGGGCTCCACAGCAGCTGCTGGTCTAAGGGGAAGCTGGAGGAGCGCTCTGTGGGGGGGAGGAAAGCAGGCCCCTTTCCACCAGTGAGCGGAGAGGGGTCAGGTTAGGGCATGAGAGGCTGCTGAGACTACGGGGAGACACCGTGAGGGGATGGAGATAGCCCCGTACTGGGGGGAGTGGGGATGGGGGAGAAGGAGAGGCTGATGCACGTTAAGATTTCAGGAGGAAAATTCAAGGACATGCTTGATGCCCTGCTTAGGTACTTTCTTCTGAGAGGGAAAAGGAGTTCTCTTTTGACTGAGGAATGGCAGTTTCAGGGTCCCAGAGACCTACTCTACTCAGCGGTAAGGGGAGAAGAGAAGCAGGGAAGGTACTGTGAACAAGGAAAAGAGCCAGGGCCAGGAGGACGCACTCATTACCTCAGGAGCTATAAACCGCCAGGACTCTTGCTGGCAGTCTGGGGGTGGGGGTGAGGGTGGGGGTGGGCTGTGTCAAAGCCTCTGGCGAAAAGAAATGTCTCATTTAATCCTCAATGAAACTGCAACAAGACTTAAGCAGTGATTTGTGATGGTTAAAGACTGGTGAGAGAGGAAGGCCTGACTATAAATTTGGCTCCAGAAATGCATTTTTCATCCCAGTGTCTTTTTTTAAAAAAATTATTTTATTTGTTTAAAGTAGGCTCTACCCCCAGCGTGGAGCCCAACGTGGGGCTTGAATTCATGACCCTGAGATCAAGACCTGAGTTGAGACCAAGAGTCGGATACACAACTGACTGAGCCACCCAGGTGCCCCCAGGGTCTTTTGTTTTAAAAAAGGAACCCAGACTTTTGGGAAGAGCTTCAAACTCAATGGAAAGTATGGAAACTTAAGTCTCTCAGAGACGCTCCTTTAGGGGGACCGGTCAGGACAGCAAGCAGAGCTCCTCCTCAGGCCCTGGTGCCCAGAAATGAGAGGGGCGGGGTCCCAGAGGAACAGGCCTGTCCTCTCTTCCTAATGCCTGGAGGAGGGAGGGAGGCCTGAGAGCTGGAGAGCTGGTTTCAGAAACGCTGAACAGTTGGGATTGGCTTTCTGGGCCATGTGGTGTCCTGAGTAAGGAAGTACAACTCGTACACAAAAGTAACTGTGTGCAACACGAAGAGGTACGTTCCCACAGCCCCTGGGAAGGGTCTGGGAACACAGAATCTGCAGGCTCAGATATTGAGAGGAACGTAAAGCAGGGGCCACAGAAACGGGAATTTGAGATCTGACACAGGACAGGAAGGGTGGTCATGGATGTGTCACTGTGCTCAGGGGAGCTGAAAAGTGGCGACAGAGGAGCTGCCTACTTCCCAAGACTCAGACCTGTCACGACTGCCTCAGAACGGGCCGGGGGACAGTGACGCAGGTGGGCCTGGGCAGCGGTCCCTGGTGAGGGAGGCTAACTCGGTGAGGGCAGGGCTTCCAGGGCCACGAACTATGTGAAATACCCGGAGAGGCCCCTGTGGTGATGGGGCCAGGAATCGTTAAGCCCCAGATCCAGAAGCCTAGGAGCTTCCCATGCGCGGATGTACACCAGCCAGTCAGCATGCAAGACATACGTGGGCGTGAGCTTGTGAGGATGTGCATAGCTGTGCGCACACCTGTGTGGCCGTGGGGTTCACAGGACGTGACCAAGGCCCGCGTGGGGGCGGCCCAGACCCTCGTGGATGCGTTCGGCCCGGTGGGGTGGACACGCACAAGGCCCACGTGGTTCAGATGGGGCCCGGGGGAAGAGAGGCAGGGTGTGTGGGGCCTCACCTGCAGCAGAGGAGGAGGAGGGGAGGAGGAGCAGGGGAGGAGGAGGGGAGGAGGAAGGGACTCACCTGCGGGCAGGTGAGGGGGGCCGCAGCGGCACGAGCACAAAGCCCATGCTCTGCAGATACTGCACGTACTGCTGCAGGAAAGCCAAGCTCAGCTCCTTCAGCCAAGGCTCCTCCCGGGCTCCTGGCGGAGGCGCGTCTGAGGATTCGCAGCTTGCGGGGGCCTCCCGGCTCCCAGCCCCTGACTCGGGGCGATGGCGCCGCTGTGGGAGTGGAAATTAAGGCAGGCTCTAGCCGCTGTCAACCACACCACGGGGGTGGAGGAATGGAGGGCACGGCGGGTAAAGGGAGGTCCCATGGGAGAAACCCAGCAGTCTGGAGCCTCACCGGGCCCTCGGGGAGCCCAGAGGTCTCGGGGGGCCCATGCAGCCAGGCAGCTGGGTCGAAGAGCAGGGCCGTTGCACAGTAATGCACCAGGCGGGATGACTGCTTCAGGGTCTCCAGCTCTGCAGCCTGGGGAGATGAGGCGGTGAGCGCTAGAACGGTGGCCCGGGAAGGGTCACAGGATGCTCACGGAGGACACGGGCTTGGGCCACTCACACTGATGGGCATGCTGGCTGGGGCAGAACGCTGCTGCCAGGTCACAAACAGGTTCTCCATCTTCATCTGGCGCTCCAGTTCTGGGGGGTGCAGGCATTAATAACGACCCCCAAGAGCTGTCAACCCTCTCCCTCCCACACTGCACGGACTGCCCCTGCCTGGCCCAGGGCCCTCACCTCTGCGCTCTGCCATCTTGATCTCCAGGAACTGTTGTCCATGGTAGGTGACAGGATCAGGGGGTCTGGGCACAGGGCCGAGTGAAGAGCTGGGGCGGGCAGCTGTGATATCCCTCAGGGCCTCATCGAAGGGGAATGTGTCCAGGGGAAGGGGGCCCCCGCCCCGAGAGGATGCACTCAGCCGGCCCTGTTCGCGGCTCAGGGGGGGGCTTGCACTCCGGATGAGGGTCTCGGCTTCCATGGTTGGCAGGAGGAATGGGTTTGGCTCCTGAGAGAGATGGAATGTCACAATGGGTTCATGGCCTTTACCTTCAGACCCTCTCTCCCACCCCACGGCCTCCTCTCTTAGATGCTCCTTCCCCACTACCTCTGCCCTCAGTCTGTCCCCTCTCCCCTGCTTCCAGACTGGCACTTCCTTGAACTAATCCCTTAGGAACCAGAACTAGAGGAGGGAGCCCGAGCAACGGGCACCTTTTCATCCCGCACCGGGAAGTCCAACTGGCCGTAATGATGGAAGAGCCCAAGCTTCTGGCTGAGGAGGCAGAAGATGAGGTGGGCACGCGAGTTCTGCCACTGCACGAGGCGAACCAGCGCTCGGCCCAACGCCGCTCCCAAGTCTGGAGCCCAGTTGTAGGTCAGCAGCTGCAGCTGGAAGTCCGGGGCCAGGGTCAATGACATCACTGAACCCCTTCTCCCACCCAGCCCCTGGCCCCCCATCTACCTTCTTGTCCACGACCTCCATCAGCAAGAACCTCTGCCGGGGAGCACTTCGCCCGGAGCTCCCGTCGCCTCCCGGCTCAAAGCGCTGCACGGCTTTGGCAGCTATAGGGGGAGCGCTCAATTGGGGTCTGGAGGCAGATCCCCTTGAGCCCACCCTGGCCCCGCAAAACTCTGAACTCAACCCCTCTAGGCCATGCCCTCACCCTGCTGGGTTGGTCTCCTCCACTGCAAGAAGTTCCTTCCCAGAAGCAGCAGATGCCGCTCCACTGCCGGGCGTGGCGTTGGGCCCAGTTGTCCAAGGGAGCAAGGACTGAAGATCTCTGGTTCTGAACCCCTGGAAGGAGGATGGGAGGCACAGAAAGCAGACCATCCATGCACAGCCCCATTCCGTGGACATCACCTCCCAGGCCTAGCCCCCACCTGTCCGAGCTCAGCCCCCAGGATACCCCAAACTCACAAATGCTGCTCAAAGACACGGACACTGGTGTCTCCAGCCATGGAGGTGACCAGAGTGGTGAACTCAGAGAGGACAGATGGAAGGAGGAATCGGGACACCATGTGGGTGGAGCTCCTGGACACTGAGGCACAACCTGGAACCGGGGCAGAGAAGTCACGGTAAGGCCGCAGGATGGGGACCAGGCCATGGGGTTGAGTACAGGGATGAGGGGGCTGGGGTCTCACCAATCTGAACCATAAACTCCATCCAGTGCTGAGTCACATGAGCAAACACAGGCTGCAGGGTCCCCACCTCACCCTCTTCTAGCTGTGTGGTCCTGCGCCTGAAGACACAGCGGGAGTAAGAGCCTCACCTCCACATGTGACACAAATCCAACACCCACCTGTGACTTCACACCCCCCCCATGACGCAACACCACAAGACACACACACACACACCTTTGTCTCTGGGCTCCAGAATCTGGGCCTGGTGCCCGCTCAGTTCCACCTGGAGTCCGAACACTTTCAGTTTTGTGACGCCTCCGGCCCCGGGTGTCTTCTGGCCGATCCAGGACAATGTCATCAGTTGTTTTGGGGGAACCCAAGTCCCCACATTCTGTTTTACTCTGGGGGCAAGGCAGTGAATGAGAAAGTGCTGCTGGGAAGGGGGATGGCATGGAGGATGGGGGCGTCGTGGACCAGTAACGAGAGCCGGGGGGTGGAGGGGCTTGGTGGCCCAGGCGCAGGCCCTGGCCTTGGGCAGCACTCAGTCTTCCCGAGCCCCGGCACCCTCACTGATAAAAGCCCTACTTCTCTTGTGGGCAGCTATGACGGCCCCATGAGAAAAAGGGCAGTGAAGGCGCTTGCTAAGCTGAGGCTCTCTCTGTCAGAGAGAACCTGCCCCGCTGCACACCCCAAAGGGACAGAACCGTTTATGTAACAGGCCATCTGGGGAAAGGTCTACGGGGGGTGGAGGGGAGCCAAGATACAGGCAAGAAGGCAGACGCTGACTCCACCAGCTCTTCCCATCCTCTGATTACCAGCATATCCCAGAAGCTACGGCGGCCAGCTTTGCTGGGGGGAGTCACAGGCTCCCCAGGGCCAGGGCCAGGGGGAAAGGTGCTAGCTCGGCCCGCAGGGCTCTTGGTTTCCAACGACCCGCTCCGGAGACTTCCTGTGCACATGAGACATTACAGACTCCTGTCACTGACCATCAGTGCATATTTCAGACGGCCTAGCCCCGACACAGGTGCCCCTATGCCACCTGCTAGCCAGTGGCGGTGTATGCAACTGAAAGCTACGTGTTTGTGTGAAGAGAGCTCCTGAGGAGGTGTCCCTCTTGGAGTGGGGGGACGACTGCATGTGTGCACTTCTGCTGGCATGTCACCTTGCGGACGCAGAGAAAATAAAGGACAACTGTGAACACGTACTTCGGAGGGTGGCTCTGCGATGCTTTCCTGGACCCCCACCTTTGCCACCTCACCAGAGACATGGTCTTGCCTGGGCCTGGCACGTTCTCTGGAAGCCACGTACCTGGAGATGCGTTTTCTGTACACAGCGAGGCTGGCAGCAGCCGCAGCTCCATGATGGCATCGGCCAGGGCCTGGCGGGCTGCTCCCCGTAGCTTCTCCTCCAGCTGCACGATACTGATGTTCCCCTTCTCCCACACGTCCAGTCGAAGCCATGGGGCCCCACTGTGAGCTGGAGGAAAGAACGGGGGTGACGTGAGGGTGCCTCTGGTTCCCAGAGCATTAACTCAACACCTCCTCTGCTGACCCACCTGAAGAACTGTCCGGCACGACTGGACAGCGAGTGACCTGGGTCAGCTGCTCAAATTCCTCCTCTTGCAGTGGGTCGAGGAGCCCCGGAGAGGAGGGGGGCCATGATGCCAGTGAGATGGGGCTCCCCCCTTCATCCACGAAGGCTAGCGTGATGCAGGCGACTCCTGCAGAAACCCACAGGAAGGCTCAGGTCCGAGACCTCCAGATCGCCCTGAGCTGCAAGGCTGGGCAAGGCCCCATCAGCCACAAGGCAGGAAAAGGCTCTCAAGTGCTCAGCAGTGGCACAGGCCTGCGCCCTGCAGCGTACCTTTGCCGCCAGTGCCCTGTCCACCAGGCTTGTTATACAAGTAGATGTCCAAGTCAGGGAGGCCGCCCTGTGGTGGTAGTGGGTGCTGGGGAGACAAGCACCACAGAGAACTAAGCCCAAGCGGACGGAGGGAGAGCATCAGGGGATGGTGTCCACAGCGGGGAATGGCGGACAGGCACCGCTGGGCGCACAGGAAGACACAGGTAGATAATAAAGGTGTAAGGGGTGGGGGAGGCAGGGGTGTATACGGGTCCATGGGCAAAGGTCACCTGCGGCACCCGCAGGGAATGGATCCACCGTCAGAGGGAGTGTGGAGAGGGGCTGAACGTCACCTGGAAATGGTTGCGGCTGTTGCTGTCTGTGTACTTGGGAGAGTGCAGGAAGATGAGCAGGTTCTGCCGCAGGTACCAGGCCAGGGCAGGAAGCCAGGGCCTGCAGGAGGCAGGGAGGGCCAGATGCAGCACTTCTGAGGGGAGACTGCCGGGGGGCTGGATGAACTGCAGAGAGTGGGAAGGGGCGTCAGAGCAGCATGGAGAAGGTAGAGCGCAGACAGTCCCCATGCCCGAGCCTTGGAGGGCCGCTGGAGGCTGGGAGGGAGCTGACCTCCACATCAGCGGGTGTCAGCTTGCAGTTCCGAACAAGCATGACCGTGATGACATCCAGGGTGGCCTCGTCCAGGCGCCGACGCAGGACCCGTACCAGCTCGTCGGTGATCTCAGGACCTTGACACAGCCATGGCAGGAAGGTGGAGACCCTGGCAGAGGATCCAGCAACCCCCAGACTGGCCCTTGACCCCCAGACTTGAACACTCCCCCACATACTGGAGGCAGCCAGCACTAGGTTCTAGTTCTGCTAAATTCTAGTTCACTGTGTGACTGTGGACAGGTGAGTGTCACCTCTCAAAGCCTCAGTATCCTCATCCATAAGATGGGAGTAATAATACCGTCGCATGTAACAGTCTTAGCCCAAGACCTGGTACACATTAAGCCAACCATAAATATGAGCTGCGACATCCAGCTGCCTCCCGGGTCCCTCATGCTCACCATCTCCCAAACATGACTTTCATCCCAAACCTGCCCTTGGTCTCCAGCCGGTGGAGCCACCATCCACCCACAGTCACCCAGGCTAGACACCCAGAGTCAGCTTTAACGGCCCCTCTTCCCCAAGCTGCATTTCAATCAGCTGCAGGGCCTACCCTCTAAAAACCTGTCTGTCCCGCCCAGCTCCTGCTTGAGGGAAACCCAGAGCACAGCATGAGCTAGAGTAGGAAGGCGCTAAGAGAAGTCTCGGGAGGATTCTGGAACCTCCTCTGGTCACTGCCCTGCCCCCTCCGCGCAGTGCTCACCTGCCTGTCCTACGCCATGCACCAGCAGCTGGATATGCCTGTCCACTTGGCCCACAGGACGAGCAGCATCGGCACTGCGGCCAGAAGCCATGTCCAGGGGAGAACGAGGACCCTACAGGGAAACTCGGGTCAGGGCCCGGCTCCAGGGGGCAAAGTAAGAGGGGAGCACAGGGGCCTCGGGGGTGGGGGTGATACATGCCGAAGCTTCCTCAGAGTAGATGGGCTCCTGGCTTCGGGACAGAGCTAGGGAGGGGGGCAGCGCATCACCTTCCCATGGCCGCTCGCTGCAGGAGGTCTCCAGGAGCCTGGGAGAGAGGGGCACAGTCTTTGGACATACCTCCTCGGCCACCATCCTTGGTCCCTGCTCTACCCCCTCTCCTCAGGGCCCACGTACCGCAGGTAGTACACAGCCTTCGTTGCTCGTTCCTGATAGACAAACATATTCTTCCGGTTCACCACAGAGAAGGCATTGAGCACGGAGCGCAGGGCCTGGATGGCTGTGGGAGTGACAGGGGCTCAGGACACCCCCTTCTCTGGATCCCCTCCCCCTCCGCCTGCCTCTCATGCCCGTCACACACCCCGAGACACCCCCATGCTGGGCCCCATTTTCAGGCGCGAATGGACTCGAATCACGGTTCCCCACACAACGTCACAGGAGAAATGGCCAGGGACAAACTGCATTGTGGCGGCTAGGTACCCTCGGGGTGCACAGCTCTCATCAGCAGCGTAATCTGGGCGGAAGGGAGACAGCGGATCAGAAGCGAGACACGGCCCTCTGCCCTCACTACTTCTCACTTAGGAACTGGCCTACTTGTCCTCACTCGCCAGGATTCCTTGGCCCTGTCTGTTACCCTGCAGGGGAAAGCCGGTCATTTCGGGTAACAAGGCAGGACCATGCTCTTAGGAAGCCAGGTCACAGCACAAAGGCTCTCAGGGAGATGTGCAGGAGGTAAGAAGAGGTGTCACATAAGGCAGAGCGTAAGAAAATCCTGGAGATAATGTCAGGACGCTCTGGCTGTGTCATAATATAATATATAACACACACCCCATCTTTTGAACTCACGAAGAGTGGCAACGAGAACCCTGTTAGAACCAAGAGGACAGGAGTGCTGATACCCACAGAGTCAGGGAAAACACTGTGCTCTGGAGGACAGCCACCCCAAAGAACCCACAGGGCAGTAGGGCGGAATGCAAGAGCCCAAGGTCACAGGCCAGTGCCTTGTCTGACCCTTTCCAGCTTCCCAGGTTGATGAGGAGCCTCCCAATACGGCAGAAGTGGCCATCTGGTTTCCCAGAGAAGCTGCTGCCAGGTGTGAGCAGCGTATAGAGCACCCAGGAGGCTGTTCGGAACAGAACGCTGCTTGCCGAGGGCTCCACCAAAACCGCATGGAAAGACTGTAATGAGGAAGGGCTGTCTCCGGGCTCCGACCAGTCTTCCGTCGCACGCTGCTAGAAGGCATCTGCAGCAAAGGTGTGTGGCTGTCCTAGCTCACGCTCAATGTGCAGAAGACGCCATCAAACCCTGGGAAGTCCACTAATTAGGGGAATGGTGCTTTGATACGGAGCACATCTCAGGATGTGCTGAGAGACGTGATGTCCGGGACTGTCAGGAACATTCACCTACCGACTTGCTGAGAATATTAAAAACAAGAAGTGCTCTGATTTTATTTTTAAACCAGACGGGAGAACTGCAAAAGAATGACACCATTTGGCTTTCCCCTCCGAGCTGCGCTGAGGGGTCATCAGGGGTAAGAGAAGAAAGCGGAAGTGTGAAGACTTCCATTAGCATCTCGGGGAGAGTAAAGGACTTCCTAACCGAGCCCAGCGATCGCAGGAAGCCCAGACGGGCCCTGTGCCTGCCTGTCAGGAGGGACAGTCGATCGAAGGCCAACCCTCCCACCGGGCCTTAGGCTCCTCCCCTCTGATCTTCTTCTACCTGTGACTTGGCCGACTCGCCCAACCCTCCACACCATTCCTCGGCCCTATAACCCGAAGGGGAGAGATGGTCATTTTGGAAAGGAAGGTGGGGCCAGGTAGAGGCAGGGCCTTAGGAAGACAGGTCACAGCCCCTTCCATGGTCCCTTTTCTCCTGTGTTCTTCAACCCTTCCTTGTCTCCTGCCTCCTTCCCTGTGGAACATACGTGTGCTCGAGTCCGCTTTTTTGTCAAATTCCCTCCTTGTGGGCCCGCCATGCTCTCCGAGTGAGTCGGTCCCCCCCCCCCCCCCCCGCCCCGTGTAAGACCCTCCCACTTCTGTCTCCTCTGGGTCCTAGTGCCGCCTCTCTGCCAAAACCGTGGTCACTAACGACACACGGGAACTCTCAATGGCCAAACTCAGTGACACTTTTCTGTCCTACCCTCCCTGCTCTCCTGGCACTGGTGGACAAGTCACGGCCACTCTGCCCTCATCTTCCCACCCAAGCACAGACACAGGAAGGGCGGCAGGGAGGCTCTTGGGTGGGGGTCTCACCATCGCTGGGCAGCGGTGCCCGCTGACGGGAGTGGAAGGGGGTCTCGCTGCGCCACAGATCCTCTTCGCTCTCGGCCACCAGAAGAGAGTTACACACGTGACTGTCATGGAGGTCCTGCAGAAGCAGCCGCTGGGAGGAGGAGCCGGGTATCAGGGAACTGAAACATTCCTCATACAATTGGTGGCGGTGGTCAGGGGTGATCAAAGGCCAGAGAGAATGCCCATTATCACGGGGGGTCAGCGGTCAAGAGAGCATCAGTAATCACTGGGGGGGGGGTCAGAGATGTGTCCCACAGTCACCGGGCTCAGGGCTCGGAACCCCAGGTTAGAAACATTCGTCCCTCCTCTTTGCCAGAATCTGGTCCCCACCCTCCAGGTCTCAGCTTAAAAAATCAATTCTTTCCCTGACACTTCAGAAGGTTAGACCCTGTCATATGCTCCCACCGCAGTCTCTACTTTTCCTCTGTACGATTCTTCACAATCGTAATGGGAATAATTCGTGTAATTTAGTTGTTCAAGGTCTATCTCCCTCACTCGACACGAGCTCCAGAGAGTCAGAGTTTCCCTGACTCGTTCACTATTATATCCCTAATGCTAGCGCAAGGCCACAAGATGGAACAGCTCATAGTCAGGGTGTGGGAGAGTAACCCACGCTACTAGGAGTGCGCGAGGGAGCGTTCCCCAGTTTGTAGAACCCAGGGAGTAAGAGTACCCCAGTAACCAGCTGTCAAAGAAGATATCCAAGATGGATCAAGAGCCTCTGAAAGTCAAGTTCCTAGAGACTCCTTCCTCATCTGAGCAGTGTCCCAGGCCTAGAAAGCCCTGCTCCCAGCTGTCCCTTACCTGGTTGACCTCCCTGCAGATCTCCCCAACTCGCCTCACCAGGAGCTGCTGCAGGTGGCGACACTCGGTGCCTGGCCCCCCATCTTCCCGAATCAGGCTCCTGGAGGGGAGGGATGGATCAGACAGAGTTGGGGGGTGGCGGGGGGCTTGGGAGCTGGTGCCAAGAGAAGCCACGAAAAGGGAGTAGGACTGGACCAAGGGAAGCAAACATGGTGGAAAATGGGAAAAGCGGAATTCTCCATAGCAATTACGGAAGCACAGGCTCCAGGCTTGCTTTATCAGCTTCCACGTGGGCAGCTTCCGAAGCTTCCTTCCTCTCCATTATCAGATCTTGAGCAGAAGGATGGTCTTCCCTTCTTAAACCCACCCCACCCCATGATGGGAGCCATATTTAACCAGGGGCCTTGCTGTGAGTCCTGGCTCTGCCCTTTCCTGTGACCTTGGGCAAGTATTTAACTTACCTGTGCTTGAGGTCCCCCCCCCCCCCCCCGCCAAGCCACAAGGAGAATAATACTGTCTAGGACCATGGCCCAGATGAAGGAGCTGATCCAGGTGGAACACTAAGAACAGCGTCTGCCACATAGTAAGTGCTCGTTACATATCATCTGTTATTCCCACGTCAGCTTCTGAAACTGCTCTGAAATGGAGAAGCTCTTAATGCTTGGCTCTAGGAGCCCAAATCCTACCAGCTTTGAACTCCATTAGGAAAGCAGAGAGTGACCTGCTTTGCTCAGGCTGTGGGAAGTGGTCAGGACCCTCCAGCCCCAGAATACAGTCAGACCTCTTCCCAAACCCTCAGTCCCAAGTCTTACTTTGGAACGACCCCGGAGACGAGTGCTGTGGGACCAGGGAAAAGCAGCAGACATCAGAGTCAGGGTGCAGGGCCCTACTTACCGTGCGTGGGCATACACCTCTACACGATCCTGCAGCACCCGAATGATGAGCCAGAAGTCAGGCACACAGGGCCCGGGGAGGCCTGAGAGCGAAGGCTGTGGAGGTGCTGGCCCAGGCGGGGTCCGCAACGTGAAGGGAGCCTTCTCCCCTAGGGTCTCATTGGGACCCTCACTGTCTGAGCCACTGCTGCCGCCATCGTAACCTGTGTCAAATGTGCTGAGGTTCAGCTCCTTCCTATGGCTCATCTGATCTTCCAAGTGTATCAGGCTTGATGGGCCCGGCCCCTTCACATCAGTCCCTTCTGATGTCCCCTGCCCAGTCCTTCCGCCATGCAGCCCTGCGTCTGCCTCCTAACAGCTTAGAGTCCTCCCTGCATTGTCCCAGCTTACCCAGGTGGTCGGAGTCCACACTGCCCTGACTGGACATAAGGCTCAGCCCCCGGCTGGGCCCAGGCTGGCTCCCTGGGAAGAGACGGGAAAGGCCTAGAACCTCTGTTGATTTTGTTTAGGACCGCCCTCCGAAAATGGAAGCAGGGCTGGGGATCTACAAGTCCCTGGTCCTAGCCCCCAGACTTTGTTGCCCGAGTCCTCTCTTACCTCCCTGTGGCAGGCTGAGGAGGGTGGTGCCCTCAGAACCCTCTGGGGAGCCAGGGGCTTGGGGGCTGGCTGTCAGGGCCTGAGGGGCAGGAAGTCAGAACTGAATACAGGCCCCCCCACACACCTACCTCCACCCCCCGCCCCCATTCCCAGGTCATCCCAGGAAAGACTCACCTCCCCTTCGATGCCTTCAGCCCTGTCCTCATGGCTGTGCCAAGCCCAGGCTGCTGAAGGGGGCTCCCCCTGGGACGCACCTGGCTGTTGGCCAACTGCCACAAAGAAGAAGCCACTGTCAGGATCCTCAAGAAGAACATGGCCAGGGAGGCGCAGGCGGCGAAACTCCTGGGAAATCAGGAGCCAAGGTTACAGTTCGGGCGGGAGCAGCCCGCCCTATTCACGGCACCCCACACTTCATTAGACCCTCACAACTCCCTGGTGAAGCAGACACCGGCACCCCCACTGTTGAGGTGCGCAAAGGGTCAGGGACTTGCCTAAGCTTCAACAGGCCTAGTGACAAGGAGGGGAGCTGGGTCTCTTCCCACTGAGCTGGGCCTCCAGGCAGGGGTGAGTGACAATGTGGTGAGGAGGCTGTCCGGAGAGGAATGCTATGGACTCAAACCAGGAGAGGCCCTTCTACTTCTCTATCTGGAGTCCAGGGAAGAACGGGCCCCGGGATAACCAGGGGGTGTTCTGGGGACAGCGTACCTCCTTGAATTGTGTGAGGGAACGTTCTGGCCCAAACACAAAACTCAGTGGCAGGGTCTGGCGAAGGCAGGTGGAGCGTCCAGGAGAGCTATGGATGTGGGCAGCTGCCCGCTGCAGCGCAGGGCTCTGGGGGATGCCCCCTCTTCGGAGGGCCCCCACCATCTCATCCTCCAGCAACCAGTGGATCTACAGTCGGAGAGCAATCCAGGAAGTGGCAAAGGGCACCTCCCTGCTGCTTGGGGCATCATCTCCCTCGCAAACCAGAAGACACTGCCTCACAGATTGAGGGTGGCCTTACTTTGATCGCAGAATAAAGGGGCTCCTTACCTTACTCATATGCTGGCAAGGGTATCAGTTAAAGTGTTAAGGGGTTGTCACCTAGCTTGGGGGAGGGAAGGCCCTCACCTCACTCATGGTGGTCTCAATAGCCAGTCTGTGGGGTGTGGCCAAGTTGGATAGTCCGGGGTGCCTAAGTGGAAGAAAGGTTTAGATGTTGGTTTCCAGAAAATAAAACCGACAGGGAGCGAGGAACTCTGCGAGGCGGAAGGGGAAGTACCTGTCTTCTTCTGGGGGTGGCAGTGGGGGCCCCAGGCCATCATCCGACCTTAAAGATGATGGCTGCCCTGGGGATCGTGGGAATGAAGCACTGCTTTCAGATGTGGACCTGAATGGGGTAGGAGCAAGGTCAAAGATCAGCAGCTACCCTCTTCCCAGGCCTCCCCAGCACTCCTTTCTTGGAATCCTTAAGGGGTCCTGAGTCCCCAAGTGCCTCTAGATTCCTTTAATGGGACCCTGCCCCAGCAAGGCCCAGACCCCCCCACCAAACTTGCTGTCACACCGGTGGTGCTGAGGGTCCGAGGTCGGGGGAAGCTCCACTTCCAGAGGCAAGGTCAGCACAAAGACGTCCAGAGTAACACTGAGGTCCCTCAGGGGCACTCGGCCTCCAATGGGGGGGCCCTCCAGACTGGAAAGCACCTGGCCTGTGAGAGGGGGAAATTCAGGGGTTGCTGGAGCCCAGGGATAAGCACAGACTTCAAGTCCTCAGTGCTAATGAGTTCTATCCATAGGCTCTGCCCACCACCCCCACCATGCAGGCGGGCTGTCCTGGGACCTGTGGCCCGCCTCCGGGCACCCTGGACTCACCCAGGCACGTGGGCAGGCTGCACACGGGTACTGAGCTGTGTTGTCCGTGCAGCCGCACAGAGCACGTGAGGTGCAGGAAGAGAGGCGGCAGGTCACGCACCAGGCTCTCGGGCCCCGTCGGTGAGTCGCCCCCCAGGATACTGAAGGAGTCTTCATCGGGGTTCACGGTGTCTGCATCTGACAGTGAGGCAGAGTCGAGCCCCGCTGGCCCCAGGTCTGGCTCACGGCTCTCGCGGTATTCCACCTCGAGCTCTGGGTCACTCTCGGTGACCACACAGCAGGCTGACATGTCTCCTAGACAGGGATGCATGTGCGTGGGCTTCCTGGGACAGGCTGGCAGTGGAGGGCCCTGAATCCCGGCTTCAAGCAGCCTTCCCACCTCTCCCCACCTGCCCACACACCTTCTTCTCCTATGAGCTCAGCCTCTGAGAACTCCAGGTCACTGACTTTTCTGTCTGCTGGGTCCCGGGGGCCCTCATCCTGAGCGAAAGAGACCGCTTTATCCACAGCTGGACAAGAGCCACCACATCAGGGCCTCAGAGAGCCAGGAGTCCAGAGGGTCTGGGTGGGCCCATGGGGCTATGGCTCGGGGGTCCGAGGGAGGGAGGGAGGAAGCTGCTGACCTCTCGCCGGCTGGATGGAGGGCAGTAGAAGAAGTAGTGTGGATTGGAGGGCACTGTGCGGAAGTGGAGACCGCTGATCTCCAGGAACTTCTCCTGTTTGGGGGTTAGAAGGAGCCTAGTATGTCAGCCTGCCCTCGGCAGAACACTCCCCGCTAGCCTAGAGTAGACACCTATATACCCCCGTCCCAAGAGAGCACACGGCGCCCTGGGGCAGGCGGGCCTCCACCCTCCTCTTCCCCCAAGTGTCTCACCTGGATGAGGCTATGAAGGGCATCATGTGCCTCTCCTCTGAGCTGGCAGACATCCGTCAGAGAGATCTCCAGGCTAGGGTCTGGGTTGCCAGGGACACGGCTGTTCTGAAACTCAGGCTCGCTGAGGTCCTCGGTCTCTATGCTGAGCGGGCAGGTTGGGGGTGAGGGGCGTTGAGGCGTTAAGAGCCACCAAGTCCCGGAGGAGCCTGCGTCCCTTCTGGGAGCGGCACACACCATCTTTGGCTCTAGCGAGGGTGCTTAGCACAACGGCATGGGCAGTGGGAGAGGCAAGGAGAACCACCCCACCCACTTTGGCTTGAACCCCCACGCTTCTTAATGACTGGACATTTCTGTGACACAGAGGAATGAGTAAGGAGGACTCCCAGTTTCCTGACTAGGACCACTGGGTGGAGGGTGATCTCATTCACTGGGGAAGAACACAGGTGGAGAAGCAAGGTTTGGTGGGGAGAAAATGCACGGTTTGGGGGGCACAAAAGGTGGAGGGTCTAGAGCTCCAGACAGGGAACTGGGCTAGAGTTCGGACCTGGGCGTCATCAGCACCTTCCTCCCTCTGCTTCTTTTGCTTCCCGGATGCTAATACGCTGCAGGGGCCAGACACACAGCTGTCCGCTCGCTTGCCTTTCTCCCTCCCCTCATCAGGGACTTGCTGGGCCCCTCAGGTGAGCTGGGGACTCAGCAGTGAGCAACACACTCTGAAACTCACGGAGTGGTTCCAGGGATTACTACTATTGCCCGAGTGTCCTCAGAACAAGCTTCTACTTTCACTGATGCAGCCGGCAACTCTCTAACCCTCACCCAGCTCAACACTTCACGGCAGAACAGGAGAGACAGAGAGGAGACTGGTAAATGGGAGCAAGAAGCCAGTGACAAAGCAACCACCTCCCTGGTGTGTGGGCATGACCTTGCACAGCCCTACCCTTGGCTTGGAAGGTCTGTTTACAGGGACCTCACGCAGCCCTGACACATCATTCTGGGACCATCCTAACCTGGACTCAGAAGCCAGGACAGCTCGGTCCTGAGGCTCAGGGCCCTCCTCGATACTGCTGCTGAAGGGCCCAGGGCTGAGAGGCCCAGGGCTTGGGGGTGCCTGGGGCAAACCCCGAGTATGGCCACACAGTGCAAGCAGGAAAGGGGTGATGTCTACTTCTTGTAGTAGCTCCTCACAGGCATCGACCGCTATCAGCAAGTCCTGTGAGGAAACGCTCTGTGCTTGCTGCAAACTCCGGAACAGCCCTGAGGAAGTGGAAGGGACCATGACGGTCAAGCTCAGGAATGGACCCTCCTGTCCCTCTGCCCGTAATCCCGCAAAGACTCCTCCCTGACACTCCCTAACGTGGCCTCCTGCTTACCACGGACGTAGCATCGCTGTGCATGCTCCTGCAGCAAGGCACAATGGTTGGCTGCCTCCTTGAACCTGGGCTCCATCCAGGCTGAGGATGGGGAGGGTTGGTCGAGGAACTGAGTCCTAGGAATAGGAGGGAGGAGCAAGCTTGGCCGACTCTCCTAAGGGATATCTCAGACTCCCCATCCACCCTCGCTCCTGTGGACTGTCCCTACGTCTCTACTGAATATATTCAAGGCCCAGGAAGTTCAACTGATTTGCTGAAGGAAGCTAAGCCAGGAGCCGGCAGGACATGGACTGAGTTCCTGCCACTGATCATCAACCTGTCTATACCCCTGAGCATGGTGGTCATGAGCCCTGGCTGGGGGCCACTGTTGGGGGAGGACCTAGGTCAATACTGAGGGTATTCACCGGAAGATGAGGTCTCGGGGTGCCTGAGGGGGTTGCAGGCCAACCATTTGCTCCCTCAGCGCTTCCAGGGCACAGCTATAGATATAAACAGGACACCGGGTCCGCGGACCATCTGCACCCTCCGTCTGTGGAGCCTGACGCCCAGCGTAAGCTTGTAAATCCCGACGGAAAGGCGGGCTTAGGTCTCCTGGGTTCTGGGCAGTGTCTGTGGGAAGAGGTGTCACATGGTCTCCAAGCCTTCTATTTCTTCCCATTCCTGCTCCTGCTTAACTGACTTAAGAGTTAGCAGCCTTACCGCCGGCTGGGGTGACACTGAGCATGGGGACCTGGGCCTTTGCAGCCCTCACCCCAGGTCCTCCCAGATCTTTCAGGCTGGCGGCCCCACTCCAATCCCCGAACTTAGGCTTTGTCTCCTCTGGAGAGGGCCCCTCCAGGCCATAGGCAGCCAGATGTTGGACATCTGAAGAGGAAAAGAGACAGAAGTCAGAGCTGCCTGGTAGGCTGGTGAAAGAGTCCAGGGGTTTGTATCTGGGGCTAGTGACAAAGGTGAGCAGATGGTACCTGAGAAGGTAGCTGGGAGGAAAGTCAGAAACACATGCTGGGGAGTCAGAAGCCTTGCATAGCAGCGCCACTGAGGGGGCTGGGCAGAGATGAGAGGCTTGAGAGGCTCAAGAGGGCCTCCACCCTGTAAGAGAGAAACATCAGAGCAATCTGCAAGGGACCACCCAACCACTGCTCCCTTCCTCCACCATGGAGTGTAGCCCTAGGTACAGCTTGGAAGATCTAAGACAAAGGGGAGTGACAGTATCCTGTCTCTGGCATCCCCGGTGATAGAAAGTTGGGGCATGGATATGTGCTAACAAAAGGTCAGTGGGAAAACAGGCTCAAGGAGACAAAGCGGTGCTGACCAGGGCAGGAGGCGCTGAGTCTCCAGTGGCTTGGGTGCTGCTGACTGCTCGATCCTTTAGGATCCCTGGCTCCTCTGGACCTACAGTGGGGGTAGAGGTGGGTAGACGAGGGCAGGGCCAGCAGAGAGGCAGGGCTCTGAGCTGAAGAGACAGGGAGGCCAAGACCCAAAGACAGAACCCCCCCCGAGGGGTAGGGAAAAGGGGGGCTGGGCCAGAGTGTGCTGTCTGGGGAAGAGGTGGGAGCTCACCTGGACTGTGGAAGGCCCGTCGCAGCACCTCACTCAAGAAGGTGGCCTGCTCAGCAGCGGTCAGCGGGATCTCCCGGTCACTCAGCTCCTGCCCCAGGCAGCTGTGCAGCAGGCACAGCACCATGTCGTTGGTGGGACAGGGCCCCTCGGCGGGAGGGACGCCCTCTGGCTCTGCCCGACACACACTCCGCTCAGCACTGAGAGCCTCCTGCTGCCCAGCACCCTGGCTCAGCCCTGACCACAGCGGCCCTCGTGCGGCCTCCAAGCCTCCTCCTGCCCCAGCGCTCCTCTGACTCATGTGCAGACTCATCTGCCCTCTATGCTCTATCATTTCCACACCCACTGGCCCTGTGGGTCAGTAAGCAGGAAGTTCACCCACCTCTGGAAAGCAGAAGGAAGAACATCTGGAGCTGTTGACACTGAGGCAACAGTCCCATTAGGTCAAAATGGAAAGGGATCTCGTGGACACAGGTATCTCCTCCCTGGTCCAATCCTAGGAGGGAGGGAAGGAAGACAAGACCCATGGTGAAATCCAGATGCCCCAGCTATGGTTGCCCCCCGCCCTCCACTCTCCTGTTCCACCCTGGGGGCCCCTTCCCCACTGACCATCAGAGACCCTTGGCTCTGGGAGCAGGGGACTCCATTCCTTGCTCTGGCACAGCTGTATCAGGTATTCAAAGCTCAGCATGGAGCCTATGCACGCAGCATCCCGAGGGTGGAGCTAGGGCATAAACAGCAGAGGTCAGGGATCAGCCTGCCCTAGGCCTGAGGACTCTGGTGTCCAGCTCTCCAGGAAGCCCACACAGAGACGGGCAAAGCACAGAGCTTCAGAGGGCCCAGGAAGTGCACAGGCTGTGGTACTCCAGAGGGGACGGCGTCTGCCCTGGTAAGGTGTGGGGGTCCTGCAGGGGTCACTCACAGCTCGAGGGATCTCGGAGTATGTCAGGTCCTGGAGATGCTTCCAGCTCTCAGGGCCGGGTCCCACCCGTCCATACTGAGGCTCCACCCACACCTCGGTGACCAGGTTGAGCTCCGAGTCTCCTTCCAGGGCCTCCACCTCCACATCGTTGTCGTCATCTGTGGAGAAGCTAAAGGAGGAGGAGCCCTGAGCCTGGCAGACAGGAGAGTCCAATCCATAGCCGAGTGGCAGGGGGTCAGTCCACGCGGGGAGCACAGGACAGACGAAACTCCCACGTGGCCCTTCCAGACCAGCGTCTGCCTGATGAAGCATCCCCAAACAGCACCCACTACCCCAGCTCTCTAACAGCCCAGGAGACAACTTCAGGGGCAGTAGGGACAAGTGGGAATGTGGAGAGAGGCGGCTCCCAGAAAGGACCTGGGCCTCACCTGTCTTTGGTGGAGGTAGAGTGTGGGGGGAAGAGAATGTACTGGACGACGCAGGTGTGCTTCTCTTCGCCTGCAGCCTGCCCCAGGGGCTCATTCTGGGGGCAGAATGGGAGATCGTGGGCAAACGTCAACCAGGCCAGCTCGGGCCCTCAGAACCCTAGCCTCCGCCACATTGTCCTGGGACTGGCCTCAGGCTTTGGGTCCTCCGACCACAGGGTCTCCATGAGGCTGAGTTTACAGCAGTCGCAACCCGGCTGAGAGGCAAGTGTCCCTCGGATGACGGGCCCTGGTGGGGAGGCGTCACGAGGGACGGCACATACCTGAATTGGAAGCTCCAGGACCATGTTGATGATTCCTTCCCCACTGCAGGCGAAGTGGAAGCCTTCGGAGAGTCGGACTCTGAAGCCCCGCAAAGATGGGGGTGGGGACGGGATGAGATGGGGGAGAGACACTCAGAGTCCATCCTTCTGCCCCTCATGTCACTTATGTGACCACTTCCAGCAGCCGTCCAGGCAGACTTGTCTGCTGGCAGCCCTGCTCAGACTACTGATGCCTCAGGTGCAGGAAGTTCTAGCTACACAGGCCACGGTAAGTCAACTGTGGCAGGTGCGGGAGGCGAGGGAGGGCAGTGGCAGGCGCTGCTCTGCGCTAAATACTGCGTATAATGGCGGCGGCGGCACAGGGACTCAGAGGGGGCCAGGGTCTGACGTAGGCTTTCTGCCAGGGCCGAACCCAGAGTCTACACCTGCTCTCTCCCTGCCCCAAGCTGCCCGGCGGGGCCCGGGTGACGTACTCAGTGAGGATGGACAGGAGCTGTGCGATGGCACTGAGCGGCAGCGCGGGCGCCAGGCCCGATGGGACGCTCCAGAGCCAGCGCTGCTGGTAGAGGTAGCGGGACAGCGACGCCAGGCTAGAAGAGGCTGAGCGGCCTGACACCAATGGCAGTGGCCCTGGTGGCTCCAGTGTCAGTAAGAAGGGTGCCCGGTAGTCCAGGGGCAGCTTCTCATACCTAGGCAATAGAGGCAACCCCTCGATCTCCACTTGGACCCAGCTGAGCCCCAGCCTGAGCCCCAGCCCGGGCCCCAGCTTCTCCACCAACCTGATGAGTAGCTTGTCCAGGGGCTTATGCAGGACCACAAGGCAGGGCCGGTCGGACAGGGCCTGCTGCGGGCCCAGCATCGGGGGGGACTTGGAGGGAGAGCTGCCCCCACCAATGCCCCCCAGCCCTTTCCGTTTGACCTTGGGTGTTGGCTCCTTGCTTTGCACCCGGTGGGGGAAACGCAGCCGCAAGATCTCTTCCCGTAAGCCTGACACAATCTGGGGGAGAAATGTGATCAGACCCTCTTAACCCCGTCCCTTCTAGGTCTGGGAGAAGGGGCCCCCAGACAAGGTGAGAGAGCTCTCTACTCCAAGCGTTCCTTGATCTGGGGGCTCCTCTCTCCACTGGCCCTGGCCCTGTATGGTGTGGGGAGAAAGAGTCAGTCTACCCTCCAGGGCTCCTGGGTCTGGGAGTCAGTCAGGGCCCAGCTCACCTTGTGTCGGGCCTGGGCCGGTGTGCCGATGGGAAAACCCAGGCGAAGGACCATGCACGGGGCCTTGGAAATGATGCGGACCATGTAGAAGGAGGAGGGGGGCTGGTCAGGGGCACTAGGGAGAGATGGGGGTCAGTGAGCAGCTCTAGGCTCAGTGGGCTGAGAAGGAGCGGTGAGGTCTGGGGTTAGAGGAAGAGATGTGGGATGCGGTGGAGGGGGAGGAGCGAGGGCCCATGGCTTTGCACACCTGGACAGCAGCTTCACGTAGGAGTAGCCCTCGACCAGCACGAAGCTGCTCCAGTCCCGAAGCAGAGAGGTCAGTGAGGAGTGCGAGATCCTGCACTGCACGGTGCTGTAGCGACCGTTGCTGCCGGGGGTGTGCAAGTGCTTGGGGATGGGTCTGGAAGAGCGGTGTGGGCTGAGGTCAGACCTCGCAGCCCCAAGCTTGGGGGCAGAGAACAGACTGCTGTCTCTCTCTGCCAGGTCCTATCTGAGGATGTGGGCGTGGGTAACCAGGAAGGCTGGGGAAGGGTCATCATTTTTCCTTGGCTGCAGCGGGTGAGGGCTCATCTGCTGCCCCCGCCTTCCCCAACCCTCCCTGTCCCCTCAGCCCACAGAGGATACCCACGTGTCGTGCTCCAGGATGAGCACCAGGCGATGCATGTGCAGCCAGCGCTGCCAGGAATTGGCATCCATGGACAGCACCGGCTTCCAGTAGGCCGCAAACTGGGCGTGGGAGGAGTCGGACCCACTGTGCTGAAGGGAGAGCACCTGGGGATGGGAAGGACTGCCCTGTAGAAGCATTCGTGGAGAAACACGGCACGAGGGCCGACCGGCAAACAGGACGGTGGGGTCCAGGGGTCAGAGAGGAGCTCCCAGCCTGGGACAGGAGCAAAACACAGAGGCCTCCAGGACGAAGGCCAGATTGGGAGGAGCCCAGAGACAGACTGGGTAGCCCTTTAAGCTAAACCCAGGCAAAGGGTGAGGCGGCTGCGTGCTAGCAAAAGCTGCGCCTGGTGGTGCAAGGCTGATGTCCGTGGGCCGCGGGTGGTGAGCACAGGACAAAGGAAGCTACGGTCTTCAGGCAGTGCCCAGTTCACGGTGGCTGGCACTGGTGGGAAATGGGTGAGGATGCGGGGAGAGGCCAGAATACTCCACATGGAGATGGGGCAAAGGGGCTCATGGGAACCTCTGCGTTCTCCAAGTCTACGTCTGGCACCGGGGATCTGCTGAGGACAGCCTCTCTCTATAGATCCTTCTCTGTCAGGAGCTTGGAAGGAGGGAGGAGAATTGCTCTCAAGGCTAAAGCTTAGGAATTCTGGTTTAGGAAAAAGGAAGGTGGGAAGGAAAGGAAAAGAAGGTGGCTCTGGGCTCTAGAAGCTGTGCTAGTCTGAGCTTGGACGGGTGTGGAGGGGGGCTGCTGAGCACGAGAACCACTCACCGGGGTGGCGGAGCCGGGCGGGATATAGAAGAGCGGCACTCCGCTTTTAGTGCTGTCCGGAAGCGTGAAATGTTCTGGGACTGAAGAGAAAGACTGAAGGTGGGCTAGCATCTGGTCCGTCTGGTTAATGCTGCAGAGCAAGGGTCAACCCTGAGCCACCCCTGACTCCAGTGGGCACAGAGGAAGGGAGCCCAGGGGGACGTGGGATCCTGGACACAAGCCTGAGCCTCAGGCGGGCTCTCACCAGCTCCCAGTTTCACACCTCTGTCTCCCCACACAACAAACAGGGGATCACTCACTGAGCGGTGACCTCATTCACCTCTGCAGCGTGTTCCAGAACCGTCGGATAACGTGGGTACGATAGAGTGAGCGAATGGGTTGCCTTAGTGCACAGGACACGTCATGCAGAATGTCATAGCCCCCTTCCATTGTCACTTCCACCCGTGTTCCTCGAGGGCCCTCAGGCTCCAGGGGCCAGGGCGCCACAGCCACATACTCGATGCGCATGTTGTGTTTCCACAACAGCACGAGCTTCACCTCCAGCTGAGACCCTCCTTCAGGGGAATCAGGAGACTAGTTAGGGGAAGAAGGGCATAGGACTCCAGCCTGGGACTGAGTTCTATCCAAAACCCCCACCGACCTCCTGGAACTCTAGCCTGGCTAAAGGTTCCAAGCATAGTTCCAGAGATTTCAGGCCTAGAGCCTGCCAACTGCCACAAACAGAAGTTTGCAGCAGTGATGTGAAAACAGAGTCAAGTTCAGGACACCACACCACCCTCCGCTGACCCACCCCTGGCAAAGATGGAACCGGGAGGCTAAATGCTAAGAGAACGAGGCCCTGAAGGCAGCTCAAAACCCATTTGTCTCCAATGACAAGCAGAATCTCACGGGTGATACCTAGGCACCTTCCGCTTGGTCTGGCAGGTCTGAGGCTTGAGAGACGGGGCAGAGCCTAGTGACCCTCACCTTTGGCCAGTGTGACCTCTCGGACACTGTAACCCTCTCGAAGCCGTACAGACACTGTGCTGACCAAGTCAGCAGGCACCTCCTTCTCGGTGTGCTTCTTCCGACGTAGAGCCAGGGCAGGGTTGCTGCTTGCGGAGACCAGGTGCTCATTAAACAGGCGGTGCTGAGAGCCTAGAAGACCAGCGAGGTGATGGAGGGGCGGGTGGCTATCCGTGAGCTGACAGAGAGCTGGGGGGTGTTGGGGGGCGCTATGCTGCCATCCCAGGGGAGAGAACCGTGCCAGAACAGTCAGCCCCAGGCTCGAGCTCAGGCCCCCCAGGGACCCCTTCCTGCATCACCTCCATGTCCATGCTACACTCACCAGCCCCCACCCCTGGCCCCAGTCTGCCCCTCACCACAGTAATACTCGGGGTTCAGGGCTTCTCCACTGCGCAGGAAGGAGTAGAGGAGAAATGCCCGGTGGTAGACAGTCAGACCCAGGCTGCCTGGTTCCGGCTCAGGACAAGTGGACAGGTAAGAACCAAATGTGGCCATTGCGATGAACTTCATCAATTCCACGTTGGGCACATGGCCAAAACTGCAGTCATAGGAGTAAACTCCTCCCACCTAGAGAAAATGAGCATTAAGAGGCCTACCTCCAAAACAGGCACCCGAGAAAGAAGTAAAAATAAGAGTGGAAGAGACTGGGCCGGTGGCTGTTCCCACCCCTGGGGACCACAAAGCAGGAAGTGGGTCAGTGTTCTCCCAGGACAGACCACTGCTCTGCAACTTTCCTTCCCTGGGCCCCTGGCTGAAGCCATACCCTTCTGCAGGACATCAAACGCCAGACTGCACCACTCACTAAAGATTTTGAGAACTGGTTCACGGGTTTCCTGTTACCATCGGAGAGACTTCAGTGTCTCTAAAAAAAGGGCTTCTCAAACCTTAGGGTATGTACAAAACACCTGGGGATTTTGTTAAAAATGCAATAGGTCTGGGGTGGGCCTAAGATTTTCCATTTCTAACAAGCTCCCTGGTGATGCCAATGCTGCCAGTCCATGGACCATATTGTGAATACTAAGCCTGTAGATCAGAGGTTGGCATACTACATATAACCTGTGGGCCAAATCTAGCACATCACCTGTTTTTGTAAATAGGTTTCATTGCTACACAGCCATGCCCATTCATCTTGTCTATGACTGCTTTGACACCACAAGAGCAGAGCTGAGTAGTTGTGATGACCGTATGGCCAGCAAAGCTTAAAATATTTACTAGCTGGCCCTTGACAGAAGACGGTGACAGACCAACTCGAGATGTTTCATTCAATTCCTTGACCTCTCTGTTCCTGAACCCTCATCTCCTGGAACTCCCTCTATTCCACTCACCTGCCCGCTGCCTACATGCTGGCCCTTGGCTTCTCTTGGACCCACTTCAGTTTTGCAATTTCAGTTGCCATATCCTACCGATTGCACACCATTATACCCCTCTAGATTTCTTCCATCCTTCTCCTGCACTCTCTGACCTCATTAAGACGGCCAGCCTTGAACCTCTGCTCTCGAAGTCTATCCCTGGCCCTCCTGACTGGACTCTGCTTTGACCTCCAAACCCCAATGAGGAGCACAACCTATCCAGGGGATCCCAACTGGAGAAAGGTGCACCGTTGTCTAGGGTGGCACCACACGGGAACACGGGACACCCAGCCCAGCAAGTCCTTCAGGGCTGTCCTCAACACAGTTCTCCCCGATGCTGGCCGCCCCTCCTCACAGTACTCACCCCCACCTTCTCCTTCAGAGAGGGACGGGAGGCCCTCGGTCGAATTTATCCCTATCATCACTTCTATCCTTCTAGTTTCAAAGGAAGAAAGGACTCCTCTCCACTCCCAAAGGGTCCCTCGATCTACTTCTTTGAGCCCGCGCCCTCTTGTCAACGGAGAGACTTCACTCCATCAGGCTTCCTTTTCTTTCCCTTATTTTCAAACTCTGCTTCCTCACGGGTCCTTAGAAACGGGCTGAAAGTCTCTAGCTTCAAAACCAAACCAACAGAACAAAGCACCTGCCTCTTCCGCCCTGCACTTCCCTCCAGCTTCCATTCTCTCCTGCCTCCACCTGATCTGAATAGCCACAGTCCTTGTGTCTGCTTGTCTCCGCTTCCTTCTCTCCCACCCACTGCAGTCACTTCCCTTTGCCACCTCTTCACCGAAATGGCCTGAAAAAGGTCCCAGTGGCCTCTTCATCACCAAATCAAGAGAGTGCTTTTCATTCCTCATTTTACCCGATCAGTCTGCTGCATCTCACACTGCTAGCTGCTGCTCGGACTTCTCTGACATGAGAATCTCCTGGTTCTTGTCTGATTCTTTCCCTTCCTTCTTTGCTGGGCCCCCTTCTTATGAAAAACTTCTCAACACTGGTATTCCTCAAGCTTCTTCAGGGGCCCTCTTCTCTGCTCAACTGCCATCTGCAGGCTGACAAATCCTAACTCTCTCAACTAGTACTGTCTCCTGAGTACCAGATCTGCATATCCAACTGCTAACTGCTATGAAAAGCAGCCGTCTATGACATAATTATGCACTCTGCTGAGCACTTTAAATGCATTGTCTCACTCTACGAGGGAGGCACTGTTATAATCTCCACTTACAAATGAGTCCGACCAAGAATCAAGTGATGTGCCCAACGTCACCCAGCTAGTAAGTGGAGCAGGCATGCCTAACTCCAAAGGTGATGCTTTCTACTGCTATCCTGTTGACCCACAGATGCCTCAAACGCAACATGCGCAAACCTGGTTTGATCATGTTGTCCTCATTCCACCCCAGCTGCTTCTCTTCCTGTTTAGCTCTGCCAGCAACCCAGTCACCACTGAGGTCCCAAACTTGGGAGACATCCCTGACCTCTCTTTCTTGCTCACCCCTCACACCTTGCTAATTCTAAGTCATGTTGACTACCTCTTCATTTTCTCAATTCTATCCCCTTGTCTCTTACTCCTTAGTCCCCTAATTTAAGCCCTGTTCCTCTCTCACCTTGAGCACTGCAATTATTAACCCCCCTGGTTCCACTCCTGCCTTCATGCAGCAGCAAGAGTGACCTTTATAAAACATAAACCCAACTAGTGACTTTCCTTGTGCTTCCCTGCATCACCCACAGAATTACCCTGAAGCGTCTTAATACAGCAGAACCAGCTTTTCATGTTCTGGCCAATGCCTACCCTGTGGTCTTGTTTCCCAGAGCGCTTTGCTTCCCACCCTATGGCCCATCAATCCAAATTGGCTGTGGTTTGCTGAATATTCCTATTCTTTCCTTTGCTCAAGCTAGTTTGAGTTGGGTTTTCTGATCCTTGCAATCAAAACAGTGATAACTAATCTAACGGGGGAGATGAGGCTGGACATGACTGTCAGATTTCAAATTCAGCACTCTTTTTCCTATAACATGCTGTCTCCCCACACCCTAAGGATGAAGATGAGAGTCCTCTCCCGCCACTGCCACCTACCCTGTTCTAGACATGACACCTATGCACCCCACTAACACACAGGCAACTATGTTACTGGCTTTACGTGGGAAATCGTCATCTATAAGAAAGTAACCAGCCACGTCCAACTTTGTGACATACTACACTTCCCTCTCCTTCCTACAAAGTCCTCACCTGCACAAAGGAACAAGCCACGGTGCCACTGCGGAGCTGGTTCAGCAATGTCTCACAGACAGCAACATCAGGGACACTGGTCACCCCATCTGTGATCACAATGATACCTGGAGCAGGAAACATTGGACAGACCTGGGGACGCTGACCAGATCAAAGTCACAGGGGGGCATCCAATTGATGGGGCCCTGAAGACCTCGGTGCCCACAAACCGATGTGTTTTATGATCCGCAAACACCCTTCCTTCTTCCCTTCTGTCCTGCTTCTCCCTCCTGAGTGCTGGATCCCAGTGTCCTAAGTGATGTCCTTGGAGCTCTACTCCTTCCCACTAGGGTCCCTGATGGTTGTCAGAGCTGATAATACTTGAGAGATACACGCATGCACACTCACCTTCCTCAAACCTTCCCGGGGACCCACTGGTGCCCTGGAACCTTGATGGATACTGATAATGTCCCCTTCTTATACCCTATTTCCCCAACCCCACCAACATTCCTTCTACTGACCTGCACTAGAGTTTGAGGGGAGCAACTGCAGTGCCAAGATGCCCTGACGAATCATACTGACCAGCCCAAGATCAGCTGTCACCATGGAGACTCCCACCTTCCGGCCTGGGGGCTCCCCTGAGTCTGGGGACTGGTCCTCTGCCTGGCCCAAATTACAGAAGAGACAGACCTGGTCAGATGGCACTACTATCCCACCCACAGCCAAGCCAGAATTTCTAGCCCAGCACTGGCCAGGCCAGAGAAGCCTAATCCTCTGAGGACCCCCAATCTCCTGCTATGCAGCTGAGTCCCGACTGTGCTTGCTCTCTCAGGGTGTGCTCAGATGCTGACCCGCAGATGGACAGGGAGTCTGGCACCGGATGGAGCACCAGATTATACTGAGCAGGGTTCCCCACCTTTTGTCAATGAGGCCCCTTACCTAGAGTTTCCTATCACTATGATGAAATATTCTCCATATCAATCAAATTAAGTCTTCACACAGGTAGGACTCAATTTCCTTGGCTATTTCTAGGATGTCCAAAGGAATGAGCAAGTGCATTCAAGTGAGTCCAAGCAGCTTTATCCCTGACTGTACAAAGTCCTAGAGAACAAAGCCACCCATGATCACCCTCTCAGATCCAGTAGGGGAGGAGATCTAGGACTGAAAACACACAGGCAAATGGGCTTTCACATTTTCTCCCAGCAAGAGTGTGTGTCTTGGGGAACGTACCTGAGCCCTCCTCCAGCAGGGAACCTGTTGTGTGTGCTCACCAGCAATTCTATCCCTGGCTCCCTCTCCTTTTTGTCCCTTAATAGCTCCTCTTTCTAAGTGGTCTCCACCTGCTTTCTCTCGCACATACCTGACTCTGGGGGTCATACTGCTGCTGCAGCATGGTGGCCACTTTATCCTCAAAGAGACAGAGCTGCTCGTATACCTGCTGCAGGAATGCCTCCCGTTGGGAAGGGTCCAAAAGGCAGCCCTGAACCAGCACCTGAGAAGTACAAGGGAAAGACAAGATATGAGGGTCAGGGGAAAGTCCCCCTCTGGTCTCCTTATTTATTCTCCACAGCTCCCTCTAGGCGATCCTGACTTTTCACCCAGGATCTCAAGTCGGCTAAATCCACAGCCAGTTCCTCTCTTATCAGATCATCTACTCCATCAGGGATATGGGGCCATTCGTGACCTTAATCTGGTTCACAATCTTCCTCTGCTTTCAGTCCCGCATACTGGGTTCCCCCAAGCTCCCGCATGGCGGTCCCCTAAGATTTTCCATCTCAGGTCACCAGACTACCCCACCTCAGCCTGGCCAAGCCTTTCTCATTCTGACTCATGCTTTTTTATTTTTGTTGATTTCAAAGCATGGCACACAGAGGCGGCTCTGGACCTTTTCTCTTTTAGGTTCAAAATCATCTTCCCAGTGAGTGCTCCCTCCTTCCCTTTACCCTCAGCAGGTTAACTCCCACCCCCCTCTTCACAGAGAAAGGGAACCAGCCAATGGGAACTTCTGGCTTACTTTAACCAGAAGGGTGTACTACTCTCCAACCCACTGAAAATACCCACAATGTCTGCCCAATGTTTACATCTATTTATGTTTTTATTGTTCTTTTGAGGCAAGAAAAGACTCCTCCTCTGCTTTTTTCCCCTAAAGCTAATCTCTCCAACTAATCTTGGACCTTTTGCCTAATGCCTTCGTTCTTTCTCCATGGGGTTCCTTCCCTCCTCCTTTCAACATAATATATAAGTGCTCCCACCCTAGAAATTTCACACAGGCCTGGAAGCCCCTGTGATCTCTCCTCTCTCTCAGGCCCCTACCACCTTCTCACATGCAGACTACTCCCGTGCCCCTGCCCTCCTGGGCAACTGCTACCTCTTCACTCCCTACTTGGGGCTGGGCAAGTGGGTGGTCACAGCCAGAAGAGAGGAGAGGGGGGCTCTGTACGTCCACAGGCCTGACTATGAGAAGAAAAACAGAATCAGAGGAATAGTAGGAACTGGGGCTCTAAGGTGGGAAAGATGTTCACAGTGGTACTGTTTACAGGAATGAAAAGTGGGTCAACCCAAGAGTCCAACAATAGGGTTTGGCTAAATATAGAATGATAAAATGTGATAAAATATTAAGCCAGGCAGCAATTAAAAATCGTATCTTCAAAGAATACTTCCTGACAAGGAAAAATGCCCCGATTACACATTAAAAAAGCAGGACGTCAAACCATGCGAATCGCCTGATGTTTCTCCTCTCTTTGGATGGAGGGGTGGTAGTGAGCAAGGATAAACAAGTACTCAAAGACATGAAGGAAATTCCATCAAATGTTCATAATACTTATTTCTGGGTGGTGTATTACCGGTGAGTTTTGTTTTTCTATTTTATGCATTTTTCAAATTTCCTTCAATGGATGTACATTATTCTTGTGATCTTTTGTTTTGTTTTAAGGAACAGCAGGATACATCTTGGGGAGCTTTAGAGATGGGGTGGGGGAAGGAAGCTAGCCTGGGGCTGACTCTGGGGTCGGGGGTAACCTGAGTAAGCCTCCTCTTTCTCCACTGCTGGTTCAGGGCCCACCTCTTCTCCAGGGCTGCAATCATCTTCTGCCCGCTCTCCTCAGTACAGAATTTGTCCTCCAATCCATCCTCCCAACGTACAAATCTGATCCCGTTACCGTCCATCTAAAAACCTTCCATTTTTAATAGTTTTAATAACTGAACAGTTTTAATAGCTAACATTTTTGCATGTTTTCTATGTGGCAGGCACTGTTCTAAGTGCTTGATATATACGAACTCAGTTACCATATGATATCGGTACTGTTAATATCCCTATTTTGGAAAAAAAGACAGATGTGCAGAAAGGTTAAGTAACTTGCATAAGGGCTCACAGCCGGCAAGCAAATACAGGGGTGTGTGAATCCAGTTCAGCGCTTGCATCATCACGCTAAACTCTTTTAATGGAACAAAGGACAAGTTCTTAGCCATGACATTCAAAGCCTCTCATCATTCTGCCTCCACTTACCTCTCTCTCTCTTTTTTTAAAAAGATTTTATTAAGTAATTTCTACACTTAAGTGAGCTCGAGCTCACAACCCTGAGATCAAGAGTTGCACGCTCCATTGACTGAGCCAGCTAGGTGTCCCTCTATTTCTCTCTCTCGTCTCTTCTTTACTACCACTCCTCACCCCCACATTCAAGGTTACTGTGTCAAACAGAATTACAAAATTACTGTGTCAAAGGACACCTGTGATTGGGAGGGCCCTCTGTGGCTTTGCTTTTGGGCCCCTCTGTCTGGAAAGCCCATTTCCCCTTCTTTGAAGGGTTAACCTCAATCCTTCCTTCAGGACTCAGTTCAAATGCCTCTTTGTGCAGAAGTCTTTCCTGTCGCAGCCCCAGGCTTGGCTGGGGCTCCCTCCTTCTCGGTGCTCCCACCGCACCTGAGTCATTACTTACAGTGCCCTTATCACATTCAACTGGAATTACCTCCTTCAATATCTGTCTCCCCACCACTAAACTCTCAACTCCTCCCATCAGGACAGGGACAGTGTCTGATTCATCTGTGACTACAGGACGTAGCCCAGGCCTTGCAGAAATCGGGCTTCGGTAAGCATCTGGCAAAATGAACCAAGCGTTGAGTGATTACCTAACACCTATGCCTTCCCTGTCTTGGCTATTGGTGCCTGCAAAGCTCAGCCTCTGCCTGGGGATGCAGCCTACAACCAATAGTCCTAATAGATGTGCTAGAAGAGCACTTTAAACCACAGCAGACGGCTGGGATTCAGACATGCACCAATTGCCCTGTAGATTTCAGACCCTCAGGTGCCAGTTTGACGGCTAAGGTGACAACATGGCCATCAGGGACAGTTTCAGGGTAAGCCCCTACCGATGAATTGAGGGTGGTTAAGAGCAGATGAGGGGAAATTGGGCCACTGCTTATCTAAGCCCAAAGCAGATATTCCAGTAACAGACTTGGCCATTGTCCAAAAGGAGTGTCTTGTGCTAGCCTGCTTGGGTGGTGGATAAGCCCTGTCATTATCTGTATGGTCAGTATAACACCCAGCAGTTCACAAGGCCCTCATAGGAAATGACCCTCCTCTGTCCTTGGCAGAAATTATGTTTCTGGGTATTTGTTATATTTCAAAATCATAAAATTATTCTAAAAGATCATCTCCCAGAGGTAGTGCCAGGAGTCAGGATACAAGCAAACCTTCTAATAAAATTAGGAGGGTGGTGGTGGAGGCCTAAAACAGAGACCTCCAGTGGCCAGAATCACAGACTTACAGAAGAAGTGAAAGAGGCATTTGTCTAATCAAGGCCACCTGACCTAAAGCTCATGAGAAGGCTCTTGAAGAGCAGAGGAACAGATTCTTCTCGAGAGGAGAGAGACTCAGAGATGACTAGTAAAGAGGTTCAAGAAGCCAGCGGAGCTGGGGACTCTGGGCACAGACTGCAGAGACGGGACAAGGACTTGGTCAGTAGACTATCAGAGATGAGGTCTGAGGGTACAGACTTGGGGAAAGTATGCACTACCTGGTGGGCCTGCAGGCCAATGATTGAGGAGTAGGCCTGGATGGTGATGTAGATCTCAGGCTGGAAGTCGATGCAAGATCCGGGCACGCGGAAGGGTCGAAGCAGCCCGCCTAGGCAGCGGGAGAGGGCATGGAAAACTTCATCAAACAAGATCTCTCCTGTGGAATCATCCTGAGGGCAATGCAGAGAAAGATCTCTCAAGTGTAACCAAAAGCAGCCCAGAGCAGAAACGAGCAGCTTCCATGGGAATTCTTTTCTGAAGGTTGATCACACCCCCTAAATACGGTGCCACGGATGGAGGGGGGGGGGGTGTCTGTCTTTCAACACTCACCATTTAAAAGCCTGTTTCCTTCCTCCAATGGTAGGCTGGGATCCCTTTTCACTTCTCTCAGGCCTCTCCCTCTCTCCCTCACCCCCTACTCCCTCCTTTCCTCCCACTGTCTCCCCCCCACCCCCTTACCACAATGCCAGTAGACGGGCTCAGGTCGAGCTCAATGACAAATCGATACTGCCAAGCCAGGAAGGTGACCCGGGTGGAAGGTACAAGGAGGAATGGCCTTGAGACCACTGGTTCATCTGGCTGCCACCCAGGGGGCAGGACACTGAGGACTTCCAACTCCTGCTCAGACTGGAGCTGACAATTAGGACAGAGAGAAAAGCAAAGGGTCTGGGAAGAGTCACCCCTTTTATTTCCAGGACCTGAACTTCTGTATCCAAAATGGCAAACCATTGGCGCCACCTCCTGCAACCCAACCATATATTCTTCCTGTCTGGAAAATTGAACAGCACTTCCCCTGTGGAATCATCTTGTGGGCAAAGTCACTTGCCCATCCTAGAATTGGACCCCTCAGAGTTAATCTCCCCTCCTGTTTCTAGGATCCTCTTAAAAAAGCATTCTTTTGGGCCAGCCCCTCGTATGCTGTATGTTTCTGAGCCTCACCAGCATCTCCTGGGGTGTGGCCTGCACAGTTTGATGCAGGTGATTGAGGAACCAAGCCAGGCGGACATTTCGGGAGATTCGATAATCCTTTTTCATCAACAGGAACACCTGCCCAGCTTCTTCTACCTGGAGACAAAGAGACATTTAAAAATTTCTAACCATTCACTGAGTTCCTGGTATCCGCAGGTTGACTGCACAAGGAACATGTTCAAGGAGTTCATGACACGTGAGTGAGAGGCAAGGCAGCAGAGGCGAAAAGTTAACTCCCACCTCAGTGCATGGGGTTCCCAAGGGCTCGGTTCTCTGCTCCCGCTCCCCCTACGTGGACTTCTAGGTTCATGAAGTGACCTTTTCACATTATCGAACATTTAGTAGGTGTTTCTCCTATAAGCCACGAGCTCGTTGAGGGCAGGGACTGTGTCTTGTTCTATTTTTGTGTCCCTATGTGTGGCAAATTGCTTACAACAGAGCAGATACTCTAATATTGCTAAATGCTTCCTCCTAAGAAGCCTTGACCACAGCGGCCACTAAAGGACACTTCACTGGGTGACTAGCAAGGCTGCCTCAAAATTCAACTTCTTTGGGTCACAACCTACACTTTTCCCACCCTCCACACTTCTGAGCGGTCAGCACTCTAGACCCTTCCCACTACTGCCTCACAACCGTTGACTCAGCAGTGTCCCACCAAGCATCAGCTCCCTTACCCGCGTCCTTGTCCTTCCATTCACAAGCCCTGCCAAATCGTGATTCAGGATGGATGTGACACTCTGTCTTATCCACACATATACCACCGCCAGCTGCGCTTTGACGCGAAGAAACCTGTCACCTTGCCGTGCCGCCTCTGGCGGGCCTTTACCCATCCTTTTACTTCTCCCTGCTAAGCAACTTCTCCTGTTTCCCCTAGAACGTTCCCCGATCTTTCAACCCCTGGAGTCCCGGCAGATAAACTCACCTACTGTCTCATGCAGAAAACAAGGGTCCACTGGTCTGAACTCCCCCAACGTTTCTTCCTGATCAAGGTTTATCTGAAATTCCTTTACTCCCTTACTCTAGCCTCCGATGAAAAGATTACTGTCCTCCTGGTTTACACAAATTGCAAACTGCTCGTCCTGGGTCCCTGACGGGTGAGGGGGAGATGCCAGGCTACAAGCACTGAAGAGAGTGGTAGAAGAGAAATGAATAGAGGCCAGTGACTGCCTGTTAAGAAATGTGGTATGGAAAGGAAGGGGAGGTTTTTTTCCCCTAAGTGGGGGAATGGGGAAAAGAAGTAGAAAAAGCCCTGGAAAAATCACAATGGAAGGGTGCTGGGGCAGACAGGAGGGTGGAGAGCAGAGATGAAAAGCCTTTCTTCTACAGGACAGAAGGCACACGGCAAAAGATGCAGAAACAGTCCCCGGGATGTGGCACGGGTGAGAACAGAAGGCAAGGAGAGGGAAGGCACTCCCATTCCTTGAGCACCTATAATGTATCTAACAGTCCCCTGGAGAGGCTAAGGGCAAGAACTTCAGACTCAGCCTGGCCTGAGTCCCAATTCGGCCTCTTAGTAGCCTGTGAGGTCAGGGAAAGGGTACTTAACCTCCCCAAGCTTCAGTGCCCTCATCTGTAAAATGGATCTAATCCTAATACCAATCTAGTGTTGTTAAGTGGGTTAAGTGAAATCAGGTACATGAAGTGCTCAGCACTGTACCTGGCACTCAGAAAGAACAGGATACAAATTAACTATTACAGGTTATTAACAGGCACAATACAAGGTTCTTCACACAAGTACGCTCACTCAGTCTGCACATAAAACATTTAACAGAAAAAAACTTGAGGTCCAAAAAGTGAAACGATTTAACACAGTTAGTAGGTAGAGGATCGGAAGTCAAACCCAGGCCTCATGAGCCACAACGCCCAATGACTGAGAGTGACAAATGGATAAAACCGGGGAAAGAGCAGAAAAGATTTGGGGTGCCTGGGTGCCTCGGTTGGTTGAGCATCTGCCTTTGGGTCTCGGGGTCCTGGGATTGAGCCCCACACGTTGGGCTCCCTGCTCAGGGGGGAGTCTGTTTCTCCCTCTCCCTCTGCACCCGCCGCAGTCTTTCTCGTTCTCAAAGTCTTTTTTTAAAAAGCTTTTATTTATTTGTCAGAGAGAGAGAAAGCATGAGCGCGCACACAAGCGGGGGGGGGGGCGCAGGCAGAGGGAAAAGCAGGCTCCCCACTGAGCAAGGAGCCCAATGTGGGACTCGATCCCAGGACCCTAGGATCATGACCTGAGCCGAAGGCAGATGCTTAACTGACTGAGCCACCCAGGCATCCCTAAAATCTTAAAAAAAAAAAAAAAAATGAATGATGGGTCTCTCCAGGCAGAAAGGATGCTCTGGCATAATCAGAAAGATAAAAAAAAACAATTTAAACATCAATATGATGTGATTCAATATTATTTTGTGTTAGGTCTCTACACTAACCTAAAATCACACAACTCTCTATTTTACTGTTTCCCTACCTTGGGCTCAGGTAGGTGCTGGCCAGGATTTTGGATTTTATCACCAGACTTAGGGCAAGCTACTGACTTTTTTTTTTTCAGGAGAGCAGTAACATTATATCTGCATTAAAAAAAATTCCCTCTAGCTACCACGTGATTCAGAAAGATCCCTAACGACCAGGGTAGATGACCATGGCCTAGACCAGAGCTACTCAAAGCAGCCCTTCTGTGAACTGTGAGACTGACCCCCCATGAGACAGCAGTTGTGCCAGAATGTAAAGCCAGTATTGCCTTTCATTGAGAAAGCCTGGTTTTACACATTCAGCTAACTAACTTTCAAGACAAGTGAGCTTAGCTGCCATTTTAAGGAATCTTTGGAATAAGACAAAAATTGGTGATTAATTGGAAAGTAACAAAAAGGTGTCAAGGATGGCTAAGATAGCACTGGAAACCAGTAAGCTGCAGAATGATTTCCAAGTTAACTAGAAAAATCAGATATAGGTATTTTCCATCACTTCTAACCACCATTCCCCCAAAAGGTCCCATCAGATTATACACCCTCATGGCCAAGATGCTAGAAACAGAAGAGGAATCTACTGGTAAAGAAAGAAACTGCAGCAGTTACTTGCCCTCTGCCTGGCCCCTGGTCTCAGACTGGGATGCTCTCATAAACCAGTCAAGCTCTCTCTCAGACCTGGCTGAGCTGGGTGTGGGTGTGAGATGAGTGCCCACCCTTGTTTAACTGCTGATGCTGGATCCCTGCCAAGGGTCTTATCTAGAAAAGGATAGGCTGGGGCTCGGAGTGTTATCAGAATAGGAAGGATACCCGAATTCAGCAGTCCTGTTTATCACTCTATCCTCAGAGCCCACAGCAGTGCCTGGCATATCAGATGCTCCACATGATTTTGCTGAATAAGTGAATTCACCATATGTTCTAAGCAAAGCAAAGTAATCAGGGGGCACCTGGGTGGCTCAGTTGGTTAAGTGTGCAACTCTTGATCTCAACTCAGGTCTCGATCTCAGGGAGATCAAGTTAATCACACTCCAACTCAGTGTGGAGCCTACTTAAAAAAGTAAAACTAATGATCAGTACAACTCTTCTCAAGGTGAGATAATATTAACACTAATCTCGGTACTATTTTCCTCTTGTTCTTCTTTGGTAGTTAGTGAAGACTTTTTTCCAAACACCAATCTGTTTCAGCTATGCAAGGAAACACCAAAGGGAGTTTGGGCCCCAACTGAGCCGGGTTAAATGGGGGAGGACGCATGTCCATGGGTCAGCACCGTAAGAACAACTGGAAACAATTGCTCATTCCATCTTCTAGGACTAAAATCTTGGCGATTCTGGGTTTAATGGATGAATCTTTCTATGATTCCCTACACCATTAGGTACCTCCATCAGGCATTCACAAGGCAGTCTATAACTCTTCTTCATAGCACCCAGCAGTTTGTAATGAAGAATTTGTGTATTTCATAATGTCTGTTTCCCCTACAAGTCTGGAAGCTCCAGGAGGTAGAAGTTGTGACTATATACTGTTCTTTGCTGTATCCCTAGCAACTAGCACAGTGCCAAGACACACTAGGTGTTCAAATATTTGAATGAATGTATAAATGAGGGAAATTGCTCTCATAAGCTTTATTTATTCTCTTCTCTGTTTCAAGCTATGTTCTGAATTTCTTACCAGTGATTCCTAGTTTTTCACTGTTATCAACATCTGCTCTTTGTTGTTCAAGAGTTCGTCCTTCATCTACTTTACGGAAAAACTAGCCTATTTTATTGTTTGGATTTTTCCTTGCTTCCACGAAAGTTGTTTTTACCAGGTTTTCACTAATATGTGGTTTTCTAATATTCTCTTTTTTTAAACTGTTCTTGGAATCTGGGGAGGGGGTGCTGGTGTGGGTTCTAATAGATTTGTTTTGAAAGCAAGTGTGCTTTGATAGCTAAGCCTCTGGGCTTGAGCTTTAGTTTCCTCTATAAAATATGATCGCCTCCCCCAATGGCATGTAAAAGGATAAATGCATGTATTAGTGTAACGATAACAAGTAATTAATCAAAAAGGTGCTTCTCTAAGTCTGGAAGGAGTCCCGCATAGCCATTCACCAGCTTTTTTGCTCTTCTCCAGTTACCTGGCATAGTTGGGTGTTTCCTCACACTAAGCCAAAATGTCTTCTTGATATAATCTTGACCCATCCTTGAGATCTGTTTTCTTGAAAACATCTAAACCACTGTTGGTTTTACCTCCTAAGGTCCCACAAGGAAAGTCTGACCCTCTGCCAAAGGAGAATCTATCAAACTTCTGAGGGCAGTCCTGAGTCTCTGCTTCTCCATAGTAAACATCTCCCAAGTTCTTTAGGTATATCTCAAATGGCATGGTTTCCAGTTTCCTCACTATTTTATATCCTATGCCTATGAACACTAGCTGGTCTCTTTTTCAACTTAAAATGTGGGGGTCAGGGGGCGCCTGGGTGGCTCAGTTGGTTAAGCGACTGCCTTCGGCTCAGGTCACAATCCTGGAGTCCTGGGATGGAGTCCCGCATCGGGCTCCCTGCTCAGCAGGGAGTCTGCTTCTCCCTCTGACCCTCCCCCCTCTCCTGCTCTCTCTATCTCATTCTCTCTCTTAAATAAATAAAATCTTTAAAAAAAAAATGTGGGGGCCAGAATGGAACACAATACCCAGGTGTCATCACGGATTCAGAGTTTCCTAAGTTCTATTTGGAAGCTTTACCATACCGTTGGCGCAGGCAACCTTCATGACTTTCTCACTTGTGTTGCTGTTAAGACACATCCTCCATTCTGTCCTCATGCAGGCTTTTTGAGACACATACAATTATTCAATTAGTCCTGAACATTGGATAAATTCAGTCTATTATTCTATTGTGAGGCTCAGAGTGCTGTTTTGCCTTCTAGCAAATCTCTTTCCAGCTTAATTTCCCTGCTAATTTGATCATGATGCCATCAAGTCCTCAACCCGGTCTAAAGAGAACAAAGACAAGGTGAGTGTGCATTCATTCATTGGTCAACAAAATTTATGGAGAGCCAGCTACATGCTAGCACCAGGCTAGGTCCTACGGATACCATGGAAAGCAAAAATTGGCATTCTCTGCTCTCACAAAATTTACCCTATAATGGAGAAAAAAAATCAAATAATCACTCTAATTACTGTATTATTACAAACCGAGTAAGTGCACCAAAGGAGAATGTGGTTCTGTGGTAGCATACAACAAAGTAACCTGACCCAGGCTAGATCTTAGGAGAAAGTGACCCTGAAGATTGAGGAGGGTTTGCTAGATGAGGATGGAAAGGGGGGATAAACCAGATGGAGGACACGTTCGGGGGCTGTGGTATTAGAAACGTTCTTTAGATTAGTAGTAGTTGGTAGGCTGCTTAATTCCACTACTGTATTGCTTCCATTTCTCTACCTTGTCTTTAAAGTTATTTTGAATGATGGACTAACTGCCCAAGGCCAAGCTGAAGCCCACCTAGTTCATCAACCAGTTCTTACAGAATCCATCTCTTGAAACTGGGGCGTTCGCTCAACGTGAGCTTTGAAACCAGGGGCGTTCGCTCAACATGAGCTTTCTCACAACATTCTCCCTCATCCACGATCCTTCGATGTCAACAGCTATGTGTTCAAACCATCATCTCGAAGAGGTCCTCACATGCAAGATGTAACTGATCAGAACCAGGAGACTTAAGAATTAACTTAAGCAGCTAGAACAGTAGTTTTCAAAGTGTGATCCAATGACCAGGTGCATCAGAATGGCCTGAGGTGCTTATTAAAATGCAGATTCCTGGGCACCACCCAGACCAACTGAATTCGAGTTGATAGGACTCGGGAACCTAAATTTAACAAGCTCCCCAAGGGATTCTTCCACTTTAATGTCTGACAATCTCTGAAATAGTTGTGTTCTCCCAGCATCCACACTCACATGGAGCTTCAATTCCCTGATATTTAATCCTGAGTCTGAAGTACATTACTCTTGGAGGAAGTCTGGCAAAGAGAAAGCAGGGTTCTGGAGTCAGAGATCTGGATTCAAATTGATGTGAGCTTGGACAAGTTACTTCATTTTTCCAGGCCTCAGTCTCTTCATTGATAACATGTAGGTAAGAATATCTACTTCATAAGGATGTTGTTGCAATTAAACATGAGAATCCGAACAATGGGAGAGGAAGCCTAGCATTCTTTGGAACATTTATTGAGGTCTACATACCATGTATAACAAGATGAATAATACATTATTAGGCACTGTGCTGCATACCATGTATACCAGGATGAAGGAAACATCGGCCATCTCAACTTGTTGGCTTTTCTTTGTTCTTTGCACCTGTCCCTTTGTGGTTAAGGTATAATCAATCTTTGAAGCCTTTTCCAACTCTCATGCTATTTTCTGTTAACAGAATCCCATGAGATAATTTAGACACTTTCCCCCCTTGAACTGTCTGCAGGCTCCTTCCTACTGTGTGTATGCCAAAGTCCTGAACCTCTAGCATGGGCTCAACCTCACTCTTCTTTTCATCTCTCCCCAGTCTCCCACCGAATTGGAGCACCTAGGATCTTTTAAACACTGGTTCTGCTGCTGCTTATTGGTATAAGGCCTTGGTGAAGTTACTTAAACTCTCCGTGCCTTAGTTTCCTCATCTGTGACATCGGGAAAATAATAATGCCTATTTCATGGAGATTTTACAAGGACTAGGTGATACTCAGTAAGCACTCTGGAAGTGTTAGCTACTCTCATTGTCACATTGCACCCACATTAGCAGCTGCTTCTTCTGTTCTCTGAAGGCTCTAAGCTCCTTCTCACCCCAGGATTTTCACTATTGCCTCTGCTCATGGCCAACTTCTACTCAGTCTTCAAGCTGAAATGTCATTTCTCTGAGAAGGCATCCCAACCCACCCCTCCCCTCACACTTCCTAACAAAGTCGGTTAAGAACCCCTTTTAAACACTCATTCACTCTGTAGTTTCCCTTTGCAGCCCTCATTATAATTCAGTGTTTGTTTACTCCATTAAAATAGGGGACATGTCTGTCTTACACTGCTCGGCATCCACCCTGATACTTGGCACAATTCTGAGTCCATAGTAGCACTCATAAACTATTTTACGTATTTGATGAATAAACGATTTCTTAAATCTGACTACGCCCAATTTTTTTCTCTTAGGATTGTAACAACCTCTAAAAGTCAGTCACTTTTCTGCCCAGGGACAGAACTCTTCACTCCCCTTACTTTCTGAGATAAAATTTTCGGAAATGCAAACCAAGAACTTAACACATGCTTAACTTTTGGCTGAATGAGACTCCCACAAGTATGTGTCTTGACTCCAAGTTACTACAGATCTGCGCTGATCAATACTGTAGCCACTACCAAATGGGGCTACTGAGAAGCTGAAATGTTGCTAGTCCAATAGTCCAAAATGAGATGTGCTGTTAAGTGTAAAATACATGCTGGATTTTAAAAATTTGGTAAAAAAAAGAATGATAAATATCTCATAATTTTTATCACATGTCAAAACGGTAATATCTTAGAAATGCAGAATTAAATAAAATACATTACTAAAATTGACTTCTTTTTACCATTTTAAATGTGGCTACTAGAAAATTTACATATATGGCTTCTGTTAGATTTCCACTGGACAATGCTGTTTTTTTTTTTTAAGATTTATTTATTAGAGGGGGGAGGGGCAGAGAGAGAGGAGAGAAAGGATCTCAAGCAGACTCCCCGCTGAATGTGGAGCATGACCTGGGGCTGATCTCATGACCCTGACATCATGCCCTGGGCAGAAATCAACAGCCATATACTTAACCAACTGAGCCATCCAGGTACCCCTGGGCAATGCTGTTTTAGATTACCTGCCTAAAAGGTATGTTGTATTTCCCTACAACATCCTCCCATTTCTTCTCATCTTAATCCTTAAGGAGATGTACTTCGAATTCTTTCCTTCTTTCTCAATATTGATATTTCTGGTGCATGGGCTATTCCACCACCCCTGTGGAACATGTCTGATTCTTTTTTTTTCCTAAAGATTTATTTACTTATTTGAGGGGGAAAGGGGAAGAGGGAGAGGGAATCTCAAGCAGACTTCCTCCCAATGTGGGACTCGATCTCACCACCCTGAGATCATGACCTGGGCTGAAACCAAGAGCTCAAACTGACTGAGCCACCCAGGTGCCCCATCTGATTCTTTTAAACAGTACAAGGTTTCCTACTTAATCTTGGGTCTCATCACATCAAATCCCAACAAATTGGAGATTTACCATCCTGTGGCTATGTTATTATACTATAATCATGATGGTTAAAAACGTAAGATCTGGAGCCAGGCCACCTGTTTGGGAGTCCTGGCTCTACTACTTACTAGCTGTGTAACCATGTTACTCTGGTGAGCTCTGTGCCTCCATTTCCCCAAATGAAAGATGGAGATGATAAAAGTGTCTAGGGATGAGAGCACTAACTGATATTGGTAAAGTCCTGAGAATGGTGCCCGGCATGCAGTAAGCATTCAATAAGTAATGACTACTATTTATGTCATTATATACATCCTTCACCCTTCCCACATACTCTCTTAGAACACTGGGCACCTCTTCTACTGATATTCTTTCCAAATCTGATAGATTCTATGCTCAGATCTTCTAACTTCAAAACTCTGCTACTTCCCAGCTGAGTAGCACTTGGGTAAGGTACTTAACCTCCTTCACTTTTCAGTTTCTTTATCTGTAAATGAGAACGGATATTGCCACCTTCCCTTCCTCGCACAAGTATGAATAACATGTAGGTATAAGTTCCTTGCATTAGCACCTAATGGATGCCTCATACAAATTTTCTGGTTTAATACATAAGGTCCTCACAACACACCATAAGACAGGTATTTTATGAAGAAGGAAACAGGATCCGGATAGTCAAGACTTGCCCAGAGTTGCACAGATAGCTAAATAGCAGCGCCAATATCGGGACGAGGTTTCACTCCGAGTCAAATGTTTTTTCACGAAATCAAAGCTGCTCCCAAGTGCATGAGCGTTACAACTAAATTAATTCATGCTGTTTATGTCATTCCAATGTTTGGAGAAATGCATAAACCAGCAAAGTAGGTCTACTGCCGTGTTGCTTACGGAAACTGCAGCAGAAAATCAAACCACAGGATCATTATTAAGACCGAAGAATCCGAGAGCCCTAGAGTCGGCGACGTGTCTGAAATTTCAATAAAAAAAAACAAAGCGACAGGTTTCTGCTCTAGCCCCCCCTGAGGAAACTGCGGGCCCCGGGGAGGAGGTTCAATTGTCGGGCCTTCGGGGCTGGGCCGATCCCTGCCCAGGCAATTCGGCACGGCCGCCCCCCAGACCGGGAGAAGGCCGCCGCCGCGCCGGGCTGCCGGACCCTTCCCCTCGGGGCTCGGGGCCCGGGGCCCGGGGCCCGGGGCCCAGGGCCCAGTTTTGCGCCCGCCCGCCCCTCACCTCCGGCTCCGGGCGCTCCGAGGCCATCACACAGCCCTCCCGCGCGGGCCCGGGCCAGAGAAGATGCTCCACTCGTGACCCCTGACCCGGTTACTACGGCCCTGCAGGAACCGGAAGTAAGTGGGAGGGCCGAGTTCTGAGTTTTCTGATTGGGGGACGAAGCCCTCTGAGAGTGGCTCGCTGACTAGGAAACCGGAAGGGGAAGTCGTTGCCGCCTCCGCTGCCGACGCAATGCAGGTGAGAGCGGAGTTGGGACTGTTGACCGCTAGCTAGCTTCAGGTAACAGGAGTGAGAGTGGGCTGGCCGAGGAGAGTGAGGAGTTGGGGCTGAGAGGAGAGGGCAGAGCCCGTAGCTGGCGGGTAAGGGCCCGCGGGATGGGGAGGCGCGGCCGACTGGAAAGGTGGGGGTGGGGCCCATCTGGCAGGAGACAGTGGCCGAGTCGCGAGGAAGGAGGACGCGTGGACTTGCTGTGGTGCACGAAAAGATGAGGCTACTGTAACCTGGGAAAGTTGAAATGCATTCCAAGGAAGACGGCTCAAGAAAATGGCGGGTTGGCTCAGGCCCCGGCCTAGGGTTTTGGATGGACGCTGTTGGATGCAGACATAACAAGGGATCTGGAATTGGAGAGAAACCCGAGGGGTGAAGGAATTGCTGGGGGAGGGGTAGGGGATGGCCGAAAGCTGAGCTAATTATAATATGAGGCTGAGGGTGGAACCCAGGATCAAGGCTCATGTCATACACATTGGTGAGTTTGCAAGACGATTTTGCATCGTTCTTCCCACCCTGAGCCTGTTAGTTGTTAAGGATGAAGAAATTAAGTAAGACTGGAGACCACAGATGGGAGGAAAATGTTTGCGGACACCCCAGCATTTAAAATTGTTTCTCTGGTGCTTAGGAGCATGTGCATTTTTTTGTTTTTCACTTGCCAGTTACTTTCTTGCACCTGGTTGACTAAGCTTGTGAAAGGGACACAGGAATATTGGCACAGAGTTAAAATGAGTGCCGATTAATTCAGCAAGAAGAAATTTGGAAACATCAAATGTGGAGGGCAAAGGAAGAGTGGGGGAGGGTGGAGGGCAGCGGTGGTACAAGCCTGGTATTCAGGGAAACCTTCATGTGTGGGTAGGTTTCCCAGAGATTATGTTATTGGCAAGAACTACCAGGCTCTCAAGGCAGATTCTAGTACAGAAGAAGCTAAAATACATACGGTGCAGAGGTGTACAAAGATAATAAAGCCCAGGCATTAGGTCTGGTGAAAGTGTCTCAATGAGAGAGTACAGAGTGTTTCCGATGCAGAGAAAAGCCAGACATGAATTAGGAGATGATGAGAGAAAGGAGGAATGGTGAGGCGAATGGATTGAAAGGTCTAAGGGTTGATGCTGTCTGTAACCCAAATACCAAAGATAGAAAACAACCTGGCTCTCCTGTGCTAGGGAAATCCTGTGTTACTTGACTAGTTTTGCATACTGTCATCCTGGCTTTCTAGCCTTCCTCTGTATGTGCCATACTCACGGGCTCTCTGGGTAACCAACCTGTTCCTGTCGGTGCAGAGGGAGGAGAAGCAGCTTGAGGCATCATTAGATGCACTGCTGAGTCAAGTGGCTGATCTGAAGAACTCACTGGGGAGTTTCATTTACAAGTTGGAGAACGAGTATGACCGGCTGACCTGGTAAGAGTTGCCAGGGCAAGCTGAGGAGGGCTCCATGGGTGCTGGCGGTGGGATGGGGAGGCCTCCTGGTGGATAGGACATCTCCAGTGATGTCACAACTTCTCACTTGGCAAACATCTTTTGATTTGGAAAGAGCTGGGTTTTTACCAGCATTTAACAAGTAAAGTTTGTCTTAGGGCCATGGAAGTAGAGAAATAGCCAGTTTCCCAACCCAAGTTCTTTTTTTTTTTTCTTCAAAAGATTTTATTTATTTGACAGAGACAGGGAGAGAGGGAACACAAGCAGGGAAAGTGTGAGAGGAAGAACCAATGTGGGGCTCGATCCCAGGACTCTGGGATCATGACCTGAGCCGAAGGCAGACACTTAATGACTGAGCCACCCAGGTGCCCCGTAACCCAAGTTCTTTCTAGCTTTTGATTCTTACCCTTTGACTTCTCTGGGAGGAGGTACTCTCTCAGTGGGTCCTCCCACTATGGTGAGAATCTCGTGTTCATCCTGGATCTCTTACCACAGATATTGCTGAGTCTTTTAGGTCCAACCTACTTTGGAAGTGTGGGTCCTATTTTCAGGCCTGGAAGGTTTTTACTCAGTTTCTGAATGTTTAGTGATAGGTATAGCCATGGTTCTTATTTTGCCACTGGTCCTCACCCCATTGAAAGAATGAACTGCCTTATTTCTCCACCTGTGTCAGAAACTGAAAGTGTGTCCCTCCTGCCCAGTCCAGCTGGAGTGCAATGAGTCCTTTTGGGGTGAGCCTGGGAATTCCTAGTTTGAGGGACCCCTTCAAGGCTACTTTACTGAGAACATTCTGACACCTTATCACCACCAGGCCCTCTGTCCTGGACAGCTTTGCCTTGCTCTCCGGACAGCTGAACACTTTGAACAAGGTCTTGAAGCATGAAAAGACACCACTGTTCCGTAATCAGGTCATCATCCCTCTGGTGCTGTCCCCAGACCGTGATGAAGATCTCATGGTAAGAGGAGGAGAAAGGTACAACATGGGAAATTAAATTCTTAGATGAGGACGTGGCGCACAGTTGTTGCTTGGTTATTTTAGAAGTTCTGAATGTGTAGCGTGTGGCAATAGAAAGTAAGGGCTGCATTTTGGAGACCTTGCTTTTTTTCCTTCTGGAGTTGGGGAGCCACTCCCAAATAGTGCCAAATAAACCTGAGGCCTCTGTCACTAAGGCAAAGACCTTTCTCCTCCAATACCTATCTTGAGCAAAAAGTATGTTCTTTTGTCTGTTTTGGTATTTTATTAAAATGTAGCAAAAAAACTTGCCTCTAGGTGTGGTAGAAATAGAAACGTGAGGAGACAGAAATGAAGCAGGGAGTAAGGGCAGTAGTGTCCTTGGAAGCTCGATACTTTAAGTGTCAGGTGGTGTTTTCCCTGAAAATGTACTGTTTGCCTATGGAAGGAACTATATATGTCAGGCCAGACTAAATCTACTTGAACTGCATAGGAGGATCAATAAAATCTGTGTGTTATAGCGGCAGACTGAAGGACGAGTGCCTGTTTTCAGCCATGAGGTGGTCCCTGACCATCTGAGAACCAAGCCCGACCCTGAGGTCGAAGAGCAAGAGAAGCAGCTAACAACAGATGCGGCCCGCATCGGTGCTGACGCAGCTCAGGTTGGACGGCGTCACTGCCCTGCTGCCTCCCCCCCCAAATCCCTCAAGTCCCATCACGAGAAGCTAGGCATTACCGTTTGTGTGTGGTGGGGATGCACAGTTGGTTCCCCATAAGTTGTCCCTGGAAGAGCACAAGGAAGAAATTTCACCACACTCATCTCTTGTTTGTCCTGATCTCTGCACAAATACATATGTGTTACAGAAGCAGATCCAGAGCTTGAATAAAATGTGCTCAAACCTTCTGGAGAAAATCAGCAAAGAGGAACGGGAATCGGAGAGTGGAGGTATGGAGGGATTGGTGGCGAAATGGAGAAGGAAAAGTGGGAGAAGGTCGCTGGAATAAGAGCGCTGGCTTTGGTGGTGGTGAAGTGAGGGCGGGAGACCGAACTGCTTAGGGAAGGGGCGTTTCCATTCTGTTTGCCGTGTGCACTCAGTGCTAGCCCTGGAGCAGGTGGAGGAAATGGGCAAAACGAGAGGGGAGAATTCTGGGATAGCTGTGAGGGTCTTTGGGGGCTCTTCTCTGGGCTGCCTGTGAGTGTGGATGCTGCTGAGCCCTGGTGCTCTGAGCCCCTGGGCTCAGCCTGGGCTTCCTCTTGCAAGGTTCAGTCCAGGGTCAGAGGCGTACCTCAGGCTCCTCGCTTCACCTTTTTCTTCAGGTCTCCGGCCAAACAAGCAGACCTTTAACCCTGCAGACACCAATGCCTTAGTAGCCGCTGTGGCCTTTGGGAAGGGGCTATCTAATTGGAGACCTTCAGGCGGCAGTGGTCCTGGCCAGCTGGGCCAGCCCGGAGCTGGGACCATTCTTGCAGGAGCCTCAGGATTACAACAGGTGCAGATGGCAGGAGCTCCAAGCCAGCAGCAGCCGCTGCTCAGTGGGGTGCAGATGGCTCAAACAGGTCAAACAGGTAAGGGGGCAGGGAATGACATGGTTGCAGACCTTGTGGAAGTAGGAATAAGCTGCATTGTCTGGGCCCCCAACATCCCAGAGCTGGAGATTTTCTCCCTTTCTTCTTGGACTGTGACTCAGAAAACAATTTTTTAGGAGTAAAAATCTCCTTTGAGACTCTGTAGCAGGCACCAGAGAAAAGAATTTTGAGCAGCAGAAACTGCACCTCCTACCCCCATCTTAAAGTTCTGTCTCAACTATACTTCTTCCCATTTACTCTGGTACTAGGTGTGCTGTCAGGGTCTTTTCTTAGACTAATGGTCTTAGACCGTTCAGTAGGTACACTGGGAATTGACAAACAGGCAAGCTCCATGTACTCTTTCCTCTGTTTCCTCTATCCTGCTTAGCATTAATAGTTACGAGAACAGTCTGGAGGAGTCCAGATGTACGTAGCTAAAAGAGGTTTTTTTTTTTTTTTTCAAAGCTGTCCAGGAAAAGGAACAATAAGAGAAAACTTTTTTTTTTTTTTACCTGTGACATTAAATGGAGTCTAGCTGTCTTTCTGGGAGTAGCTGAGCAGGAGACCGCTGGGGTGTGTTTTGACCCCTCCTACTATCAACCCTTTCCTCCCAGACACCTTCAGGGACCCATATCTCTGATCTTTGCTACTCAGGGTCAGAGGCCACAGAGGTTCTGAGATGATAGAGCAAGGGGGTGGCAGAAGGGAACCTGGGAGACCATCTCTCTGATTTATCGTGAAAGTCCCACCATGCTTCAAGTGTCTTTCCTCATGTTCCTTTTAGGAAAAATGCCAAGTGGAATAAAAACCAACATCAAGTCAGCTTCAATGCATCCCTACCAGCGGTGAGTGTGGCCGGCAACCTCCACTCCCAGGTGCCCCTTGCAGAGTTGGGCAGTGAAATTGCCTTTTGCCCAAAGTGAACTACATGGGTATAATAAAGAGAACATGGGCTTTCAGCACCAGACAGATCCCAGCTCTACCACTGACTAGCTGAGTGACCTTGGGCAAGTGACCTCATTTTTGTCAGCCTGTTTTCTTATTTGTAACTGGCGATGATACCTACCTCATAGGGTTGTTGTGAGGATTAAAATGAGAAAATGAATGTAAAACACTTAGTATAGTCTATGAAATGACGGGTATTCAATAAATGGTAGTTTCTACAGCCACTTCTCCCCACTGCCCTCCTCAATCCTGGATCCAGAACTTAGCGGGATCTGATACTGCTTCACGTCAGTAGTGAGCTGACAGACCCAAGATCACAGGCTGCTCTGTTATGTTTGAAAGCCTGTGCTTACTTTGTGTGGCCAGAAACTCTCATAGCCAATGTATGTCCTTAGGGACGTGCTGGCTCTGCAGGCCCCCCTGCCCAGGTTCCATCTTGGCCATCTCTCCGAGCTGCGGGCATTGAAGCTTCTGGGCGGGGACAAATGGCCCACCTGCAGCTCTGGTGAAGTGTGGGTCTGCTCTCCTTCTCTCCTCTAAGAAGCCGGTTCAGCTCTTACCTGGGAAATAGTCACAAAGTCAACTATCCTTTACCTCACCCCATACACATGAAAGAAGATGTTGCAGGTCCAGTAGGTGGGGGCTTCCCAGGAAGTGGCTCTACCAGGTAGGACTGTGTGAGAAAGGGATTTTCTTAGCATGTGAAGAAGCCCCTTCTTCCTGGACTCGTTTTTCTCATTTTAGAGGGAGAAGGGAATTATGCCTCACACCACCTTTCTTCAGGGTTCAGTTGGCCTCATAATATGCCTAGTGCCTGGACTCCAGCCAGGATGGCTTTCTTCCAGTCCACTGAAACTCAAATAAGAGCCAGATTGCTGGTGGGTGGGGACAGCCACCAGGACCTTTACCTGCTTTGCATAAAGCTGAAGAGCAGCGTGAGTTGGGTCTGCAGCCTAAGCTGCCTTTCTTGCTGCTCCTTTGCAGGCAGGGGCAGGGTTTGAGTCAGGAGAAGACCAAAGGGTTTCTCTGAATAAAGTTTGTTTATTTATTTATTAGATTTTATTTATTTATTTGACAGAGACACAGCGAGAGAGGGAACACAAGCAGGGGGAGGGGAGAGGGAAAAGCAGGCTTCCCGCGGAGCAGGGAGCCTGATGCGGGACTCGATCTCAGGACCCTGGGATCATGACCTGAGCCGAAGGCAGACGCTTAACGACTGAGCCACCCAGGTGCCCCTCTCTGAATAAAATTATTTAAATTTCTGGCCACCGTGTCGGGGTTAGCCAGTAGCGATTTATGAGGGAGCTATATAGGGATCAGAGACCATATGTCAGAGACTTTCAAAGTTGCTGCAAGGCAGTTCTAATTTGTCCATAAAACGTTTTCTTAGCTTTGATTAGCTTTGATGTAAAAGTCCTGAGCGGTATGAGGAGGGCCTGCTCATACCTTCCAGCTGCCTTTTTTCTGTTCGCTTCTGTCACACAGCAGTGCTTTGGCATTTGGTGCCGGGCAGAATTCTGCCAGGCTGTGGCAGCAAAGAACTGGAAAAGTGGTCCCCAATGTCACATCCATTCCTGCTCCATCAAGACAAGAGATGGTATCCGCAGAGTTCAGTGGTCATAGCACCCAACAGCGTGGGGAGTCCTTTTATCATCTCTGAGGCAATGCCAGACCTTTCCCCCACTTCAGCAGTGCTGCTTTACTGCTCTGTTGGCCTGCTCAAGTGTTCCTTATGTTCTTACCTTTTCCCTCACTGCTGGAAGTGTCAAAGCTAACCACATTGGATAAAGTTCAAGTTGTATGTCTCTAAAACCCTTGAAGGAGCTTTTGGTGACTGCCGTCCTTAATTCCACCAGAAGATTCCCTTCTATTGAGAGGCACCAACCCCAAGTTACTTTGTTGTCTCAGACTAATACTACCTTCATTCCCACCATAATATTTGAAATGGGTTCCTTGTCCTCCCAGAGTGGAAATGTCCTCCTGACCCAACAGGAATATGTGCAGGACCTCACCGACATCTTGGGCCCTTATGCAAACATTCCTTACTCTAGAGGCACTCACATCTTTATATTTTTTACTCTGGAAACACACGTTCTCATTTCCGACCCCCCCCATCCCCACATCTGGAGTACACACACCTATGTAGCATCGCCAACTTTGGGACCCACAGAACCTGGTAAATGCCTCCATGGAAAGTATCTCCCTCTCCTCACGCACGCATTCCCTCCACTCCCTTGGGGACGAATATATATGGTGTTCCCTTTGAAGAAGAGGATGTGATGTGCTTACTTGTTCAGATTTAGGATGTGTAAAAGATGGCTCTCTTGCTCCACTTTGGGGGTATTCCTCTGTTTCTGACTTACCTGTTTTGCCTGGGGACTGTGCTTTCTCCTACTCTCGGGTCCCCTGGGAAATGAGATTAGGTTATCGTCTTCTGGGATTATGCCTAGGATGGAGAATGAAGCACTGTGAAACCATGAGATCTTATTGCAGTGCAGAGTTCATCCCACTGAAGCAGATTAAGAAAGCTTACTTAGGGGCGCCTGGGTGGCTCAGTTGGTTAAGCGACTGCCTTCGGCTCAGGTCATGATCCCGGAGTCCCGGGATCGAGTCCCACATCCGGCTCCCCGCTCAGCAGGGAGTCTGCTTCTCCCTCTGACCCTCTTCCCTCTCGTGCTCTCTATCTCTCATTCTCTCTCTCTCAAATAAATAAATAAAATCTTTAAAAAAAAAAAAGCTTACTTAATCCATATATGCATGGACCATTACCATTGCCTAGGACTGGTCCGTCTCCAGCTCCGCCCTGTGGCTAGAATTCTGTCATTGTTGAACCTCCCTTTCACTCATTACCCTAGCCCCCCCATTCTCTACCCCTTCTGAGGTCTACTGCTGCCCTACCTAGCCAATTTTACTTAACCTTGTACTTTCTTGTGAAACAGCCAAAATCGATAGGTTGTAGCCAAGTGCTCCTTCCAGCTCCATAATGGGTTCTGTCTTGAGGACTGAGCTGGAGGTATGGATTGCTCACCTGTCCTGCTGTCAGGGAGGAAGTTGAACTCTGCAGGAATGCCCTTGTGCAAGGCTGGTCCCTTTTCCCACCCATTCTCACCTCCCCCAGGCAGCTGGGAACAACCTCTCCCTTTGTCTGAGCTTCTTGTACAGAATAATCCTCCTTACAGACAATGTATTCTCTGTGCCCTGTGGACATAGGAACCGTGTGAGCTGATCCCAGCACCAGGCAGGACGGAGGCTGAATCTTTCCAAATGCCCACCCTGGGTCAACTCCTGATTATTGTCCAGAGAAATTACTAAGGGATGTATGTTAACCTACTGGCTAAATCCAGAATTTTTTCAGTGCTCATCTTACTTGATCTCCATGGCGTTTCCTAGTGCTGACCATTTCCTCTTCATCTCTTTCTCCCCACTTGGCCCCTACGTCTCTGACCATTCCTTTTCTGCAGCTTTTGGCCTTCTATCCCTCTGCCCGCTGTCTCTGTGACCACCTCTTTTATTTTCAGCTCAGAGCTCTCTGCCCCTAGGATCCATAGGTTCCTCAGATTCTGAATGTTCAAGTCCGGGCATTCTTTCCTCTGAACCTGTGTTTTCCCCCCCCCCCCCCTAGTTTTCCTGGGTGTGACCTAAGCCAGGTCTATGGAAGTCATCCTAAACCCGTCCCTCTCTGTGTCCCACCCCCAGGTGCCAAATCCTATCTCTTCTGGCTCCCTAATATCTATCCATCCTGACTTGCATTTTAGGCCCTGGGCCTCTTTCCCTAAAAGTGTTCAGACTCCCTGTATCCCACTCCGACCCATCTTTGATACGGCTGCCAGGTCTTTCTAAACTGCTGGTCAGATCACATCGCTCCTTTGATTAAAATCCTTTTGATAGTTCCCTCCCCATGTTTCTCAAACTGGAGTCCACGCACCTGACAGGTTGGTGTGCCAGGCATGCTGAAAGTCCTTGGGTCAAATCACCCTGGAACACTCATTTTCTTGAGGGTAAGTAATTTAAACAGAGAACAAAAAACTACCATGTATGCATTATTAGGAGAAAATAGACTTCAAGAAATTCCTACTAGTCCGAAGGGGTTCAGAGTAAGCCACTGGGTTTCCTGGGGGATATTTCTTTCTGTCTTTTTTGCCATTACATTTACTTCATTAAAAAATTTGAAAAACATCTAAAATTTCCCAGAAAGGCAAGTAAGATTCTGTGTGATCTGGCCCCCTGTCTTCTCCTGACTTAGTTTCTCTCTTGTCCTGCCGCCCACTCTGTTTTCAAGCCGTACAAGCTGCTTGAAGTTTCCTGAAATGAACAAACTCTTTCTAGCCTCCGATCTTTTTGTCCTGCCATTCCCTCTGCAAGGAACATTTTTCCCCATCATTCTGTCTGATGAATACCAGTCATCTTTCAAAATTCAGCCCATGAGCCGGTCTTCTGTGAAGCTTTCTGACAACCCAGTGTGGACACAATTCAGTGCCACTCAAGTAAGTAAAGTCAGTTACCTCCTCTTTTATGCTCTTTATTGTCCTCCAAGTTCAAGCACCCTGAATGTCAGGGTTTGAATTCCAGTTCATCTACCTGGGAGCTAGGTGATCTTTGGCATGAATGTGTGTGTCTGGCATACTATAGCACCTGGCCCACCATAAACACTATAAATGCTAGCTGCTACTATTTTTTATTTTCTTTACAGAGAGAGACACAGTGAGAGAGGGAACACAAGCAGGGGGAGTGGGAGAGGGAGAAGCAGGCTTCCCGCCGAGCAGAGAGCCCGATGCAGGGCTTGATCCCAGGACCCTGGGATCATGACCTGAGTCGAAGGCAGACGCTTAACAACTGAGCCACCCAGGTGCCCTGCTAGCTGCTACAGTAGTGTGATTTAGTTGACTTGGGGGAGATAGAATAATGTAGCATTTTGGTTAAAAGAGCAGGTTCAGACTGCCTAGCTGTGCCACTTACTAGCTGTGTGGCTTGGGAAAGTTAATTTACTTCTGTGCCTCAGTTTCCTTATTCCTGGGGATGATGATATTAGTGGCAATATTGTAGGGTTGCTGTGATGTTTAAATAGATTAATACATACTAAGTGCTCAGAATAGTACCTAACAATAAAAGCTTGATAAATATTCGCTATCCTCAGGATAGTGTCTAGAACTCTGCTGTCAATAATTGTTGCTTAAACCAATGATTGATCAATCCCTTTATGAGGACAACTTCTTCCTCCCTGTGCACCTTGTCTTTTCTGACATCATGCTCAGCCTCAGGAGCTCAGCCTCCTGAGAGATCCTTTGTGCACTTCTCATCCCCCACAGTGTTTTCACCGAATGCAGAGCATTTTTATATTGGTTTACCTGGTGTGATGTCATTTTTGAATCTAGTTTTGTGAATTTTTTTTCTCCCACTTAGTTGACACCCATACTCTTCCATTAAAGCCCAGTTTGGTCTCTTAAATTGTGTCATTTTGCTTTGAGACCGAATGACAAGCTCCCTCACCTGAAATGTTCTTTGTCCCCCCTCCTAAACTGTATCTGCTGTCCAACCAGTTGAAGGCTCAGTTCCACAGTCTGCCTACAATTCTGTCCCTAAAGGGGACCCTACACCATGCAAAGATCTCTCTG